ACAGTACCCCGGTGTTTACAAATTGAGTTGTACCTGCGGTGTCTGCTATATCGGGGAGACGAAACGACATATTTCTGACCGAATCCGCGAGCACAAATCAGATTTGAAACATGGCAGAACGAATTCTTTTGGCCGTGGCTGATCATTGTTTTAACAAAGCGGGTTCTCATGACATTGTCTTCTCTGATACCAAAGTTATCTGCAAACCTCCCGGTTATTACCAGAGATTTGTCCATGAAGCCATCCAGATATACAAACACAGACAGAACTTCAACCGAGAGGATGGTTTCAAATTGAGCAACCATTGGAAAGATGTTATAAATCAAGTCAAACGTTAGCTGCCTTATAACTGTACAAACATTGCCATTGATCTCAGTGGGTTGTATGTACTTGTGCATCTCTCCCCCCGAACCCCCTGCAGCATAACAAAAGGCAGCTTAACTCAGCCCCCCCCCCCCCCCCACCCACGTCCCTTCTTGGCTCCCCCTTAACCTGTATATAATCTCGGTTGTCTCAGAGCTGTCCACTTGACACAGATATTCTGCTGTGGCTGTTCCACCTGAAGACGGAAGCTTGTGTTGCCTCCGAAACGTCGTGATTTAATTTAGTTGTTTTATTTCATTTTACCTACGTGACTTTACTGAAAAAAAACAAAGAGTATGAATCCTTGCAGTCACGAAAGCTTCAAATCTAGAATTATTGGTATTTAGTTGTATAGAACTTGATGGCGTATGGAGCTCACGTTCAGGAAGTCTGCATCACGTAACGACTCTAGCGCCACCGTGTGGATTAATACGGAAATTCCCAGCGGGAGCGGGCTCGCGATAATCGGATTCCTCTGCGTGATATAGACCTGCTCAAGAATATTACAACGTCCTGCCAAATCCACTGCTGGGTGAATATTGCTTTCGTTCAATGTCTCTCATGATTAATTTGATTCGGAGTACAAATATCAAAAAGTGTTACAAACTTAGCATATCCTTTCCTATACAGCGATGAATAGATTTTGTAAAAATATCTATTTTAAAAAATCCATGACTTACTAACATTTAATGTTTTACCACGTCAAGATGTTGAAGTCGTTTTTCATAAAGTTTGATGTTTATTAATCCACGTAGCTCTATTTGACCATTATGTCACGGCCTATGACCAAATCATCTGGAACGTCCGTTCGGTCGAGTGGGATCTCGGAAGCTAAGCAGGCATGAGCCTGGTGGGCACACGGCACGGTGTTCACCATGCACTCAACAGATGTTGTAGACTGCTGCAGGGAAAAATTGTCACCAACGGGCCAGTGCAGTACAAATAACTGTTATACCGTACCATACTGCAATGTCTATGCTCCCATTAACTCGCACTGGCCATCGTGATGCTTTGGCTAAATAACCCTATTAACCCGCACAGCATGAGGCCCTTATCCAACAGTGGATTGCAAAAAGGCTGTACACATGCGCATCAAGATGATCCAAAAATGAGAAATAAACTATTGGAAAAAACTCAAATACTGAGTCCCCGTTAAAATGGTACGTAAAATGTGACGCTACATTTTGCAGATTAATTGCCCCGCTATTAAAATACGTATTGGAGTTGCAGTACGTCCATTTAAAAACTGTGGGTCAATTAAAAAATATCACAAAATATATTTATCAGTCAGTACTGTTTCAGACATCTCTAATAGATATATCAGAACGTCAGCAAATGAGCACGATGGGTTATTTTGTAGAATGTGTTATTGTTGAAGAGACCTCTCATTTAATGAAACTCGTGTTGTTTAAAGTTGGAATAATGCTGCTGGAGCCTTGGATTGATTTTCGTAAACCACGAAATCTGTAGGACCAACACCTCGGCCGTGGCAGATCATTGTTATAATTCAGTAGGCTCACATGACATTGACTTCTCCAAGACAGAGGTTCTTTGCAAGCCATCTGGCTACCATGAGAGATTCGTTCATGAGGCTATCCACATATACAGAGACAATTTCAACCGAGAAGATGGATTCTGGCTTAGCAATCATTGGATTTGATAAACCATTTCGGGTCTTAATTGATTGTTCACGCTTACGGTGGCTTTCAGACCGCATCCATTATTTTCGTCTCCCCCCTCCTCTTTTCCTGAACATAGATGGACTCGCCCATCTGAATAACTGCCAAATCGCTCTCCGTGGTGCTAACGTTAAAAAAATCCCGCCACTTTTTTCACATTTTCTTGCTGTGGTTTTCACACCTGATGATGATTGCTTGTGTTGCAGTCGAAACGTCGTGAGAAATTTATTGTTTTATATTTTTATCATTTTATTGTTTCCCTTCTACGTGACTTTACCGAAAGAACCAAAAATATAATTATAAATTCGTAACATCTATTTATGAATTTTATAGGGATAACTAATGTTATAGGCAAGAGGCGTTGGCTGGTCACGTATCTAAGCAAAGAATAACACAACAGTCACAGTGATACCATAGGGACGTTCCGTTCACGCCAAATGTCTTACTATTAGGATATTACGAGTGAGCCGAGGCTGCTGCGTTCCCAGTAATAAAAGTTTATTTACAAGCCATGCTGGACACACGCCAAGAACAGTTCTGCTGTACAGGCACAACACACCACATCCATGCATCTCTCTCAAAAATGTTACTCTGCCACTGTGGCTCCCTCAAGAAACACGGCAGCTGGCATATGTTCGTTTATACCTTCTGGTCAATGCCTCGTCAAAATAAAGGTCGTTTTACTACTACTACTCCAATGAAATCAACTGCCAGTCTTAATTAAAAACAGGCATTGCGAAAAGCCAAATGTGCACCCATTTTAACGGAATGCGATTAGCAAATTCAAATGCTCAAAAGCTCAAGCAGTGACAGTTAATAATTTTACGAATGAGATTGGAGGCACCATTTCCCAACTATTGTCACTAAAGGTAAGCGTTTAAATCCATCAGCTCTGTTTAATTTGCAACTTAAGCTAGTCGGATGCTATGTAATCTACCAGTAGATCTACCAGTAGATTACAAACTGATTTTTCCCACGTGGATATAGAGCACAACATTTTATTATAAACTTGCCATCTAACAATATTTCCATTTGGAATTGCCGAATGAGACATTTAAAACAAAGCTATTGAAACTTTAGGTAGTACAAAAAAATCGTGAAATTGGCACCACCCAGGGGAACAAATTATTCGCTTTAATCTTTTGACAACATTTTCACAACACCCATATTTTGCCAAAAAAATATGCAAGCGGTGGAAAAAAGCAGATCACAAACCTACCGAGGAACATTCATTACTGATTCGTACACTTAATAAATAAGCATACTTATCTCATTTTTAAGACTGGGGATATTTAAAAACTGTAGCTATTTAAACGAGAGCCTCTCTGCCTATGGTTATGTTTCTTTCCAAACGAGAGCCTGCAATCTAAGCCAATGCGGGCGTGGGCAACTTTACAAATTTTCTTGATGTGATGAGAGGGTGCATTTTGGAAAACCTTGACGGACCACATTATTTTCACTGGGTGACATTTCTTTCAATGACATTCCTTGACAAACTCCAACGAGTGTATTCATTATGTCCAGGTGACTGGCTAACACAAATACACGAGACATCTAGAATGCATAAACAATTACAGTTAAAAATAAAAGCTCTAAAAATGTTTGACAGAAGAGCATATCCAACGGTTACAATAAATCTCTCAGCTAAAAATGTTAAGTTTGTGGGGAATCACTCACTATTACCTTTGAACATAAGATGAAATGAGCGCTTATGAAACGTGTTGCTTGCATTGATTCCCTTCTCGTTTAACATAAAGGAGGTATTTACGTCATTACTTTGTTGAAGGTAGGCAGAATCAAATTAGTCACGGTCAAGCAGTGATATGACAGTCTTTAAGCAAAAACCTAAGCAACCAATTCCATGATGGACCAATGATCTTTATAGCATAAGCAAGGCGTAGTGGCTACTGTCAACAATCTATAATTCCTCACGACGCATTATACTAACGTCGTGCTTTAAAATGGGTAACAAGTTATTTGAACCAATATACTGCAATGAGAAAAACACATGAAGAATTGAGACAACATTGAAAGGGTACAACAGTAATGATACATTTGCCTGCCCAATAACGTATATAAGATTGTGCTAAAGACGTGTGTAAACATAGGGTGTCAAACTTATCAAGAGATTATTTCACACCATGTCAGTCATTGAAAAGTTAACTCGTGCTATATAATTTGACTTGGCAACCATCAGTTACAAAACCTTATCACTCATTTATGTTTCGTTTTGCCTCTTAGCTGTTTGTGCTTAAGGTGAAAGAGCTTTTCTTTTGGAGCCACATCACTCCTGTCGGGGTCTTGTTGATGTTCATACATGCTCGTCACAAACACGCTCTTTGTTTTAATATTTGACTGTAACGGCACGTGACACTGGGCATAAGAAAGCCAATATATTGCAGGCACTTCAAAAATGAGTGATAAGGGTGGCTGGCAAACGTCGAGTAACTCTTTAGCCATTTAATGTCAGCACCAGACTTGTAGCACTTTCTTTTAATGTTGCAGGTTTTATACAAACCGATTTTTTTTTGCCAATCTCTATAGACAGCACTCCCACTGTTTCAACTGATATAAACATCACGTCTTTAAGATCATCTATGACGGTCTCATTTGTTCATCATTTGACGATACCAGGCTTAATGGAAAAGCCCATTCTTTCTTGTTTTATAAAGTCTCGCCACAATGCTTAAGTCATTTGACACCTTGAATGTATACATTTGCGAAAGGCAAGGCCGAGACTGGAATGTTCATTGCAAGGCAGGTGAGATCTTAGGGAGGGAAGGCCTTGAGCCCAAGATGTTACGAACAGAAGGAACTATCGTTACAAGTCTTAGCGCACACCATCACATCTCCACAGCTGCAAGGAAGGAAACGCCTAATTGGGACAAGCGTCTGTTTTACTAAAGACACCAACACATCAACATGTCTGCAACAGAAAGACACAAAAAGGAGTCTTGCTATGGAAAGGTGACAACATGAAGCCACTTCAATTCACAACACTTCTACACAACTTTGACAAGTCAAACGAAATCATAGTTTTTGAAATACTACGATGCATCCTCTTTCTATAAAACGTTAATACATTTTAAAAGAAAAAATAATAAAAGATCCCCCAGGCTTGTGTTCGTCCCAATATATGCTGCACACACACATGAATACACAGGAACATATAGGTGGCTGGGAGGCTTAGTGGGAAGCATTTCTCGCCACTGTGCCGAATTGTATGGATCATCAGTTCAATTCCCACAAGACCCTGGTATCGTATATTTTTTGTAGATTGGATATGACAAATAATCTCCATCACCGTTTCCTAGGAATAGTCGACTGTTGGCAGTGTCAAATTCTACTGGCGAATAACATAAGGAAAATCATTTTCCAAGTCTCCATGGGACAAGATACTTATGGGTTTTTAGGACTCTTACATGGTCTTATTAAAAGGAACTCAATTTAATTAAGTGTTTCAAAGCGACATGGGCATTCGTATCTTTTGCAATGAGCGAAAATGGTTATCAACTAGTTAAAAGGAATTGATATTTACCAACGTGAATTTTCATTAAGTTTCAAGTGTGGCCAGTAGAGCAGTCTTAAGATTGATTCCATTCAATATTCTCAAACGTGATACAAAATTATGTAGACTTGGAAAACATGGCTTCCATACATCTTAGCTGTATCCCATTCTTCTAAAGTGCAGGTGGATATTTAAAAAAAAAAAATGATCTTATTGGGGTTTACAACCATATGGCATTGAGCAACTGATCACACAATGCAGGACCACGCAGACGATTGCCATTGTACCAGACTGACTGCAACAATTCTCACCGAGCTCATTTGAGACTATGGCAAATGTAGGTAGAGGAATAGTTCGCGTCATTGATATTTGTTCATGGTAACATTTTGTGAATTGGGTTACTTGTCAAAGGTTTGTATTTGTGAATGGCGCCGCGTGGCATGCGAGTGTTTAATTTAAACGACAGCGAAGTTTTAACCACGAAGCTACCCGGCCACTAATGATTAACAGACAGCTCAAGTCGTCGTTTTACCACCTGCTATATAACATCTCACTCGGGGTACACCGAATAGTTTGATTTTAGATCGAGCCAGTATACGGTAATATTTTCGCTATCTGGGTATCGATTACTCAATGTAAATACAATTATGTAAGTACATATTAAATATTGACATTTTAATCCGCCTTTATTACCATACCACTAAATTAGTCTAAGTCACCCCTACACCTGTATTCTCTGCATAATTCCATTCAAACACGCGTTTTTAAAATATTTCGTCTCATTGCATTAACATTCTACATTATTTTATCAATGTATGTTACGCGAGTTTGTTGTTTGTGTATATATAAAAACTGGATTTGGTTTCAAATTCAAACCGGGCCAGATATAAAATAATGTATTCGGCAAGATAGCAAGTCCTATTCAGTGCACCCATAATTATTCCCAGGATTATTTAGGCAACACAGAATTAACTTTTTTTCCCCACAACGCCAGCCTGCACACACACACTAAACTGACGGCTTCAATCCGTTAATGTCTTTGTGCTACACAGACGGAACTAAACATCACAGCCGATACGTTACAGTCTTCCAGAACTGGCAAGGCAAATGTGGTGGTATACGCCTGTAATACAGAGACTTGGGAGGCAGAGTTGGTGGACCACACAGATGGAGAAGCAAGCAGTCCACAGGAGGCAGCACAGCAAGTACATTGCAAGTACATTTATGGCAGGAGGTGGCTCCTCCCCAGTTTGTCGATTACCTCCAGACACTCCAGTTTTATTCGACGCCAAATCATAAACATGTGGACTGGGCTAAACTTCCTAAGCAGAAACCTCCTGAAAGACCGGTGAACACTCAGCATTTCCTGGGCAAGGAATGTCAAAATGTACACATTATGCGGAGTGCCACACTGTACAGGCGGATTTCCAGTGTACGAGTTGTCAAAATGAAGGTCCTAAACAGGACACATGCCAATTTAAAACTGTTGCACCTCCACCTATTATATCGACATTTCTCATTGCAGAACACTGCTTTGCAGCGGTTTAATTGAAATTATACATGAATAAAAACAAGCTAAATACGTTACATATTAGCATTGGCTAGGTCAAGGGTTATGGCGGTTTAACCACGCTCCTTTAAGTCGTCGAACGTGAAAGTTAATCATGAGCTCATCGATCTACGCTCTGTGCTCACCTTCTTAACATGGGCTGTGAAAATCAGCTCGAATTGGCAATCGGGTAGTCCTATGGATAGTTACGCATCCTTATGGACACCGTACAATCGGGTACACCGTTAACTGAACGCTAAACAGCATGGTAGTATTCATCAAATCTGAATTGACCAAAGCACATCGCGCTGTATGTGGACTCGCCACAAACCTGTTAAACATGGGCTTAAAAAGTTACATTTTCAACCAATTGTTTTTTTCTTAATTTTATCTCCCCCCCCCCCACCTTCAATTCCACTCCATTTGTGAAATTTGATTCGAGTCATAACAGGACATTTCCATCTGTGTCCGGTCATCGGTGAGAAGACAGAGGCCGTTCATTTGCAACCACTGAAAAGCTGGGGTTGTTCAGAGGTGGTTGCCCACATCAGACCCATGAATCCAGATGTGTCGGCTCCGGTGCTAACATTCACCTCCCCCACCCCCGAGGCACCCAGCCACCTCTATGTCCTGTTTATATTCGCGTGGAATCACCAAAGTGTGCTATGGAGGAGGTAATAATGACCGTGCGATTACCACGAGTAAATTTAGGTGACGGTGCATCATAAATCCGGAACTGCAAACTGCTCACAATTAAAGTTTAAACATATAAAATTACACGTTCCAACACAACCACATTTCCTAAAGCTTCCCATATAAATGTTTAAATCAATCCCCTAAAAAGGTAATTTTGAAACACCGGTTTCAAATTGAACACAACCTAAATGTTTGATTTCACGTCCTCCTTAAGAAGCGTCTTTATAAAATCGCCACCACAAGTAACCAATTGCCTTGCTTACGTTATACCTCCCAAGGAGCTGCAAGAGGGTTACCACGATGGGGAAGTTGTCAGTGTCATGCGATGCAGAATTCTCGACCAGAACAATTGACCACCCCCCCCCCCCAGCGTGAAAGGTGGGCACGAAACTGCGGGGGGGGGGGGCTGCTCACGAATGTTGACGCGCGACTGCCCAACCCGTCTGGTGTGCCTGGAGTAATTGTGACGTCACGGACTAGCGACGTCACGAGACCGGAGGGCCCTGCCTGCTGAGCGTAGACTTGCTGGGACATCGGTCACGAAGCACACCGCAAATATTTACAACGTATGAATGTTGAGATTCCCCACCCCCCACTGCAACATTCTGAAAAAATATTAATCGTCATGCATGCTTACATTACATAGCTGTATGCGTGGAAATGTATATACTTCGACTATTTTATAGTAATCAAACCTCGTTGCTGCAGAATGTACAGTTGTAGGTGTATTCGATAAAGTGATAATGCTCGGCCTTTATTACCTCCTGATATTTTCGCTGTCCACCATTGTATTTATTTTGTTTTACTAACCTTAACCCTTTTAACCATTTACCTTTTCGCAGCAACTTATAATCCAAGTGCACTTTTCCGAGTTGCGCTGCATGTCGAGCGCTTCAACTCCTGAAGACGGCCGCGGCAGCGCGTGGCAAAAGCTTAAGAAACGCTGAATAAAGCAACCCCCAAAAAGGAAACTGAATCCACACTTGAACTTTAACCTTTTGGTCAACCACCACTCTATGATGCGCCACATGGCAATGACAGGCCTGCTACCCACAAAACGAGGCGATACGCAGGGACTGTGGGTGGCTCTTTGGCTCAATTGAGGCTGGACAGCAGACAGAAGACGAAACAAGTCTCAAGGGGACCTTATAAGTTGGGGTAGGTAGCGATTGCACCGTGCCGTTTCCTCAGGTGCCAAATCCACATTTTTTAAAAACCGAGAACAACATTCTCATTTTGCTAACATTATAGAATTCTAGAATGCATTTGACAGTAGTGTCAGAAATCTCTTATCATAATGAGATTCGGTTTGATCATGCAACTCCTCAACACACAGCTTTTCAAATTAGTTCATGGGTCGGAGCAAATATTGGTACCACCTAAGGCACCACAACTTTATTTGTACAGATTGTATATGGCTAATAAGAGTGAATTATTTTATAACCTACTCATTTCAAATGGTTATCACACAATCCATTATTAATGGGCAAGACATTTGTATCACTAAAGCTATGACACCTCAAGCGGTACCAAGAAGTGAGATATCTGGTCTGGGCTCACAAAATCATTGGAATAAGTTCAACTCCCGATTGGAATTTGTACAATAGAGCTCTCCACTGCGGTGACTGCCCGTATTGTGTGCCTGCAGCCTGGTGCATCTCACTGCAAAGCCTGTCCTTAGGTATTCTTTACAACAGAAACGTGTTCCCTGCCGCAAATTAAAAAAAACGGGTTTGCACCTGAATTTTATGAGGCCTTCATTGAAGGCACATGGGGACAAATGCTGGAAACTTAAGGCCTAATTTTTTTTTTTTACAACTTACACTGCGAGTCACAGTGCTGCATTCTGTTCCTGTGTCTGAGACGTCGCGTTTTCAACCGAAAATTCTCAAGTTTCACTCCTTGGAAGCGGAATCCACTTCAGCTCTCCCGTGTCCCGCGACTCATCCTCATTCAGCTGTATTATTTATCATGCAATGTGCATTCTCTGCCTCTGCTAAACGGGAGATGTGAAGACCTGGAATGGATTTTGGTTCCGGAGCATCGCAGAGATGAGCACGACTGCTTTTAAATCACTTCACAAATAAGGCTGCAATGAACGCAAAATAAGCCTTTAAAAGTGGAGACAGACAATTAATATTCAGAAAAGGATAAATGGTAAACGAAAAAAATGTTAATTACAAAAGCTGCTGCACTTCATTAGTCAAGAGTGTTCAATGCAGAACAAGCAGCCAATGGCGAATGACAAAAACGACCAGTCACTCCATTACCAGATCATCTGTAATTAGTGTGAAAAATTGGACAACCCAGCAGAATTCACTTTGCTAATTAAAATGAGGTTCAATTAAATTTTGCCAAGACACACGTATGCACACGTGCACGTGGAGCACACATGTATATAAGCACATATGTACCAGTGTGTACTCGTGTGCAGCACATTTATCCCCTACAATCTGTATCGAGTAGACAGGGGACGTCCAAACGGGACGGTTGTATGCAATGGTGTATGTGCGTGCGTGCGCGCGCGCGAGTTTCAACACCCCGAGCATCCTACAGTAAACCCCAAAGCCTCGCGAGTCAGATGGGGGGCAGACGAGGGTACGAGCGAGTGCGAGTGTGCGTGCGTGGGGCGGGCGGGCGAGGCGAGGCGGCACGTGGTGTATTCAACCCAGCAGCTTGCTGGCGACCAGCGAGGGCTTGCGCTGCGGTAGATCCTGCGGCGTGGGGATGTGGTCTCCCGTTACGGGCTCCTTCTCGGGCCCGGCGTCGCACGCGGGCTCGCTGTTTGTGGCCGCCGCCGCCGCAGCCGCCACCGCTTTATTCTTCTGGTTCGCCTTGTACATGTTGTAGTCGCCGGAGTCGAAGTACTTTTGTTGCTGCGGGGGGAGGGGGAAAAACACAAAGCGGGAGAGGGCTCATCGATGGCGAGTCGCGTGGCATTGTCGTGCCGAGCAAGCGCGGCTTAACCACGCCCCCTCTCTCGATGTCACGCGTTGCAAAATTAAGTTGGCCACGAATTTGGGAAGCTTGTGGGAAAATATCCCTCGTGGTTGAACCACGACGGCTCTCCTACTAATGTTGATGTCAAGTTGAGAAGGATTGAGATCATAAGTTTGTGAACCATCCATTGCATGTACTTTTTATCAACATTACAAGGTTTTTCAAATAATTGTAAATATATTTTTAGTGGTGAATTAATAATAATGGTGGCGATAAGGCGGTTACGTACTGATTTATCAATTGCAATAGATAATTATGCTCATTATCTACGCGTAGGATTGGGCACGCAAGAATAACTTATTTATTATTTGTATGCACTCTCTTGTATGTCATTTGTTCAGGTGAACCCTGCAGCCACTAGACGTTCTACATTTGTCAATATAAAAAAATGAAATGTGACCATGCCTCGTGCCACAATGGGAGAAAATCGCTCTATTCCCAGTGGCGATGGTGGCAGCAGCTGTTATTGATGCTGGTCATGAATGTGATAAACAATGCCACAAGGCGGCTTTCGGCATTGTTTATCATCAGAAAGGTCAGATTTCTAAATGGGATACGACCTCACCACTGCATCACAGGCAGCACAATCAAGACAGAAGGAGCTACTGTCACCCGTACACGACAGATTTGGGGAAGTGAGAGGCCAGCAACAGTTTAGCCTCTAACACAAATCTGCGTGGGACAACGGGGTAGGTGGAGAGGAGAGTTTGGGGCCCTTTACTGTCACGTTAAAAAAGTGTTAAATAAATACATTGTTTATTTCCATGCTAAGGTTTTTTTTTAATATATGCATAAAAAACAGTACTACTCAATTAAGATTCTGTAGACAAATTTGTGGGACATCACAAGAAGGTGCTTTACACAATAAGGATGCAGATTGGCAATATTGATGCGGAAAAATGTAATTGCTTTACAGGTAAAAATAACTCCATGTTTGGAATTAATATTAACAACATATTAATCCACGCAATTACAAACATTGCATCACAGTCACTACATTTACAATGAATGCAAAATTACAAAAGACAAGACTATAGAAAAACGTCAATGAGCCACACTAATATGGGGGAGTCACGGTTTGGCTCGCTGGAAAGCCTGACGAGCCGCAATTTCAATAAAAATGTGTGCAAAATATTCTTAAAATCTTTGCTGCCTGGTGCGCGGGCAGGTAAGTGCACGGTCATGACGTCGGTGCACATCTGCGCGATGACGTCATCCTTGTCCCATAGTGTTGAGCCGGATCGTTCATAGTAAACTTTGCTAATCGGAGTTGCAGGGGAAGGACAACAAACTAAACACAAAAGGCAGTTCCAAAGAACAGAGTTTTCAATCTAGATTTAAGAGTGCATAGTTCCAGTGGCTTGCTAATATCGGACGGAAGAGCATTCCAGACGGCCGCGTACTCAACAGTATAAGTACACATATTAGGGTGTGCATTCCAGGTCCGCATTCGTGTACAGACCAAGCAATATAAAATCCTTATGGTGTGTGTGTGTGTACTGTGCCGTATAGCACTGTCGATGTGTCCGTCGGTCCGAAGTGCATTGCAACCATGTGCCAAACCACTCTCCCTGCCATCCACCACTAAATAACATTCTTAATTACATCGTTTTATTTTTGTACAATTTTATTTGCTATGTCCTTTTCATTCAGAATGTTAAACAAAATTGTTATCAACCGGCAGTAGTACAGCTAAATGTGAAATCCAGCTGTCTGGGTTCTCACCGGACATGTAATATAGCACTGTGGGAGGCAGTCCCATGGTGGTCTGTGCACTGCCCCACAAACCCAATTAGCTGGGTTCAATTCCTGGCCACGGCTAACATCAGTGGACGAGTGATATTAGAACCAGCTCTTTGGGCTCCCGTAGGTGGAGAGAAGAGTCTATGAAGTCTATGTGGTGGATGTTTGTCTCTGCGTGCGTGTTTGTGGGGAGTGGTAGAGTAGCGGTGAGCACGCTGCGTTCCGAACCTGGCGACCTGGGTTCGATTCCTGCTCATTCCCAACACCAGGGACAATTATCTGAAGTGGTCCTGGGCCTCCCCTAGGTCGGACCCAGCCAAAAATGAGTACCTGGGGCGATGTAAAAAACATCGCCATTAGGGGGACAAAGGCGGCCGGGCGTGGTGTTGGCTACCCACCCCCTCGTGTGCCACAAGGCTGGCCTTCATATGTGCTCGCTTAAAGCACTTGCCCCAGTCTGTTAAAGCTATATGGGCGATCTTTGTCTTCATCTTTGTTTTGTGCGCACTTGTGTGCATACGCAGAGGTAGAGTAGGGGACGTACCCCTTTGTGTAGACGCTTCATGAGGAAGGCGGATCCCCCAGTCTTCGGTCCCAGCTGGGGGTACTTGGCTCTCAGCTTGGCCTCTTCAATCTGTTCCAGCGGTACTCGCTGCAGCGCACACATGCACACACAAACCCCACACCGTCATTACATAGTCTATTTTAATGCTATCTGTTGTGCGTGGTGGCATGTGAGTCAAGTTTTAAACTAGTAATTAGCAGCAGGCTCAGCCCACTTTATATCAGTTTTAGTGTCACACTATTGTACCCAAAAACTTGAATGACTCGAAATATGTTGGATTTGGACACCCATAAAACCACCTCCATGTACACAATTTAAAAACATCAAGTAGTCCAAAGATTCAGACACTGGTTATGGAGGCAAAACTCGACAACACTAAGTATACACTTAGGCCTACCCACTACCGTGTGGGTCATCATGGTGGTAATTTTACTGTACTCCGTTTTACTTGCAAGTGTGGGTTGGTGAAGGCTGGGAGAACAGATGTGGGAGCATAGAGGGTACAGTGCAATATTTGCCGCACTGCCCCACAGCAGCCTAAGACAACCAACCTGACGTTAATGGTGGTCGTCCATCCAAGCACTATCCAGGCTCCAACCTGCTTAGCTTCTGAGATCTGACAGAATTTGTGCACATCTCGATTGAGTTGCACACTGGCACACTCGCCTATATGTTTTAAACATTGTCAGAGCTTATATCAGTTGACACTTAGGAGTAAGCTAGTGTCACGTTACTTTACTCAAAATCATCTATAAAATGTCTATGGCACACGTGAAATTCTGCTGCGGGTCATCGTGGAAATGCAAGGCGGCGATTTCTAAAATGCATTCTCATACAAAAACTCCATGAACCAGGTCATCAAGATCAATAACACTACCAGGTCTGTTTCCTTATAATTTCTTATATTAGTTTTATCGATTTCTCAAAATGTTTAGATGTTATTTATGCATCGTTTGTCCATTCCCCAAAATATACCCCCCCCCCCAGTGTGCCATCAGCATATTGTCATGGGATGAAGTCTCTCTACTGAACTCTCTCAGGCCTTCTGGCCTTCCTAGCCTCGAATGTATAACCCACTGGCCTGACAAACAACTCAATAATGTGCAATTGTGTAAGAGATTAAACAATTAATGAGAATGCAGTGTGATATTGCACAACATTTAAAGAGTTCAAAGTTATACGGGGTGGGGGGGGGGGGGTAGAGATTTTGATATTAAGCCTCAGCTTAAGACCATAGTGATTGACATGATGCAATGGGTTCAGTAACGATGGACTCACGATGCCACGTTGCAAAACCTTGCAACAAAACAGTGGGCAGCGAGTTTTGGGAAGCTACCAACAGCGTCTATTTTGACGTGTGCAATCGGATTAATTGTTAATTGGAACGCGAAGAAAACGAGGTCATTATACACACATATTGTGCACACAAGCAGGCCCGGGTTCTGCTGCTGGGAAGCAGAACCAGCCTGGCAATGAGTGCTTATGAAGTCACTTCCCATTACATTTAAATTACTTATTAATTCATCACCGCATGTTACCTGTGAGGACAACAAACCCCACCTCCCAGACAATGTGTCACTTTCATAAAGCGGAGCCAACAAACTTTATGTGAGCATAATGTCTCAGGGAGTGTTACCCAACACGTGTAGATCACAATTCACATCCATTCAACAAATCTGCACCAGTGTCTGCTTCGTATTAGGGGCTCAACAAGCGTAACACCGCAGGGTCATGAAAACTGTACCCCCCCACCCTAAAGCTGTAGCCCTGTATTATTTGGCATAGTGCCCTGTTTGCATGTTGAGATGAGACACCTTTCATTCCACGGCATGAATATAAACAATGGCATTAAGAGTCACTTGCTGGAATCTCTCCTTACTTAACCTCCTACCACGTGTGTAGTCCTTGATCAATCCGTTGCCTTGATGAAGGCCTCCCAATGATTTTCGGACATGGGAGTTTGTTTGACCATATGTCAATATGCTGACGAGTTATGGTTGGTGAAGGGGGTGCCCAGAACCCACGATAGACATCGCATGCCACTGATGTTAACCGTGGCAGGAAATTGAGCTCAGGACAGTGAGGTGCTTGCTATTCATTTTTAACACTATATCCCAGCCTCCCATAAATGTGTGCATAATAAATAAAGTTGTATTCTTTTTATACTTCACCCAGAAAAGCCTCCCTTCGTCACAACACTCATTTTCAAGAGGGTCCTGCTAAATTTTTGCAGTGGGGAGGCAATGTTGCTGCGTGCAATTCCAATTAAGTAATTTTGCATGTCAATATTTCAGCATTTAAATGCTTGGCCAATAGCAATTACATTGACTTTTCTTTAGCTATAGGAGGAAACCGGAGAGCCTGGAAGAAACCGATGCAGAAGAGCGAGAGAACATACCAAGTCAAGACTAAAAAAGGGGCACCCTTTTGCTGTGAAGCACCGAAGTCATCACTGTGCCACCCTGCCTAGACTAGCTTCCCATTCGATTAACAAATGTTCCCTTCCCCCTGTCAAATCCAGATTATTGCATTTTCCATCGCACATGACTGGTAATCTGTTGCTTATGCAGCCTTAACCTAATAAATGTTTTCGCAATATAAATAGATAACTGGAATTTACGGTATATTTAAAAAATCCTACCATATTTATCCAATACACTTCTACATCTCACATGATACACGAATATGAAATTTGACATCGACATGAAATTGGCAAATATAAAAATGTAGTTAGGTACCTGCACTTTAAATTTACACAATGTACTATGAATTGCATTTATTATATCCCAATGCACTTTGTAAATCAATCGTGTATGTACAGAAACTATTGAATTACATGCATTCCTAACACAGTGGAGCCACGCCTTGTAAATTTGGCCTCTATTCACAGTAACTTAAGGGGTCTCTGTGCTTATCGCCAAACCAGTTTCAACTGTCGATTTTTAGACCACAGGAAATGTTTGTTGGAAGTTCCTGTAATGGAGAGAGGGATGAGGTGTATTGATACATTGCAAAGCAAAAGTGCTCTTGATTACTGAATGGATCACATCTATAATTTCAGCCAAATAGTCATCAATTTTAATTGATGACAACGCAGAAATTTGTTGTTTTCATGACCTTAATAGTAAATCCCTTCACTGCACCATTATCACCACCAATACCATTATTGTTACTATCAGTATCTCATCAAAATCATTACCAGCAATACCACTACCACAATAACCATCACTGTCACGACCACCACAACCCTTGCGATCACCACCACTGCCCCCACCATCTTTACCACCACTATAACCTCCACTTCCACTATCAATACTAAGAGCACTACACCGTTATTACCAATGTCACAAGCTGTCTAGAAGTAATAAATTTAACCAAACATACCCCCCTCCCTATAATGGATATTGCAGTTTCATGGCTTTAACAACTTGCAATTTAGCAACGTCAACACAAAACCTACAGTGGATTTTAAAAAAGTAACATTTTTTCATGACATTATTTATCCATGAAATCAATTACTGAATATAATATCCACCTTCAATAAAGATGGTCGAAAAGGTAGCAAGAAATTTAGTGGAAGATATATTGAATGTTGTGTCTTTGTCCCCAAAGGACATTAATACTGCGGACTAGAGTGCAGGAAAACAACAGGGGGAGGGGGGCACATTTACCGAGTAGGCAATGGATCAACGTTCACGTTATAGCCCTCTCATCAGTACCTCCCCCCCCACCGACTTCTCTGGGACCCTAATGATCCAATCAGTCGTGAGAACGAATTATGCAAGCTCCGACTCTACAAATCCCGGTCTCACCGCCACCGGCAGCTGCGACGTCGTGCAACCCTCCGGGTTTCCATGCCGTTGGGGCCCCCCGCCGCGCTCGGGTGTTCTGCAACTTAACGTTCTGCAACTCGACGTTCTGCAACTTAACGTTCTGCAACTCGACGTTCTGCAACTCGACGTTCTGCAACTCGACGTTCTGCAACTCGACGTTCTGCAACTCGACGTTCCGCAACTCGACGTTCCGCAACTCGACGTTCCGCAACTCGACGTTCTGCAACTCAAAGCCTACAGTCTTGACGGCAGCCAAGCGCAGCTTAATCAGCGAACCGGTTTACCGAGCATTTGTCAAAAAGTGCTTCGTAGCTCATCAGATTGCTCCAGTGTATATAACAAAATCGTATTATTCTGATTACTGAGGTAAGCACGCTTTGGCAATGCAGACACCTGTTTGTTATAGCAGACTGCGTGTTTAGTCAATAATAGGAGACGGATGATTGATTCACCGTTACATGCGAGGTGACAGTGCACCCATCATTGATTGAAAGGAACATGCGACTGGCTGATGACACAAGGGACATCACACCCAACTTGGCATATATTGGCAGTTTACACAGGGCTATCTGATCAGACCAGGATGTTGAAACCTTCAAGAATATGGCCCATGTGGATACTTGCAAGGACTTGAGCCAGACAAGCTGTCAGTGGTAAACACATTATCCTGGTTACAATTGGTATGCTGTCAATGATTCTACATGGTGAAGTGGCTGGATGGCAATTAGTGTCTTGGTTTTGTGTGGTATTCAGGGGAATAATTATACATGGCAAAACAGTCTAACCTCAAATAAAGAATCATGGACAACCTTTGAATGAACTGTAGCAAGCACATAGGAAAGTAGTCTCGTCAAAATGATGGCAATTTCTGGAATATATGATTATACTTTAATGAATAGATGACAAATTGAATGGCTGAGTGATGAAAAGGGGCCCATTAAAAGGTGGAACTGAAGGTCCTCTGGGCCGACACATAAAAGGGGACATGTTACGTCACTGAAATGGTTGTATACAGTTTCTCAAAGACAGGGAAGAGTAACACTAAATAGTCATACGTGAGCAACGCTACTTTAAGAGACAGGCGTGTGATGCAGCCTAGGGTAGGCTGGGATACTGGTGGTCTCTTGGCAGCCAACAGTGGGGGAGGTTCTGCTGACAACGCTACAAAAAAACTGACAATGTGGATGTTACGACCCGTCTGGCTAAGAGAATAGGGGTGACGGGCCTGAATCAGGGGTGGCAGGTGTCACATTTATAGTGCTACACAGCGGGGGTGTAGTTGGGAATTGTGCACAATGCCAGGACGCACTACTCTGGTTATGTCAGTTAACAGCAAAGCTGGGGCAAGCCAGAACCTAACCAACAGGGAGTTTGAGTTGTGTGCTTGTAGCGTATGTATGCAGAACTTTTGCGCCACACTTAGGTAATCGTGCTCATTGGAGGTGCGGTAATGAGAGATTACGTGAATGAAAGCTTGCTAAACAGAATACATTTTCCAAATAAAAACGCGCAATACATCATAACCTACGAGGGGAGTCCAATTATTTCCCGATTGCAAGATGTTTTAATTGGCCAGCAGAGGCGAGAGATAATGGTAAGTGAGATGAGCAGACTCAAAAAATGCCGGATGCACTTTTATATCCAGTTAGTCCTGTCATGAGTATTGTCGACACAAAACACACGTGAGAAGATCCAGTGCTTCACTCCGAATAGATCCTGCAGATGTTGCAAGCTCACACTCACACTGAAAGGTATTTAATCCCACAATCTGTACCCTAAAACTGCGAGTTTAGATTTCCCAGTCCAGGTCTAAACTACAAAAACATCCACATACTCCAACTTTTTTATGCTTTGGCTTTCTCTATGTTTTTAAATTAATTATCTATATATTTGGTATTCGTGCAATTTCTTTGTTTCAGAGTCTGCAGTAGTTTCAAAGATGCTTGTCACGTGTAATTCCAATTGAGGGACTTGTATTTTTTTTGTATTCATCAAATGTGGATTATGATGATGGGACACGATGGCCTACTCATTTTGAAGGGGCTGTTTAACATTCACTGTGAAGCAGACCGTGCGCATTTTATGGTGGCCTGCCGATTCCGAACTGCAAACCTCGGCAACAAGTGGCAAAAGCACTCCCACTTGGCCATGTCACCACCTACACGGCATTAGTGAACGTAGGCCTTAGCAATTCCTTTCTGGAATTAAGATCTTCCTTTTCTTGCCAGTGGCGAGCGAACCCCGTACGAGTTAGTGTTATATTTCTGTGTTACCTACTGCCAGTGTTACTTGAGTGGTGCATGACTTGAATGTGGTTTTCCTCGAATGTGTTTGCTACCCAATGTCTGAAATGTTTTCCTTTATATGCAGCAACCCTCCTTTTTTCCCCACCAAGGTCCTCCACGGGTCATTCTTGTAAAATAGTTTAAGCCTGAATGTTTCTCACTCACGCAAACCTAATCAAATCGAAAGTCAAGCACCACATTGAACCGTACAGGTAACAAAATACACAAAATTCCAAACAGTCTAAGCTTTTAATCCCACACAAGAGTAGGTTCCACATCTTAAGTTCTTGACCACTCAACTCATCTTAGTTGGAATGCTGATACAACAATACCTCCTCGCTCTTCATAAACATTTTTCGCTGATTGTAATTCTACAAAACAAATCAAAACGTCTTGAACTACCCAGGAGTAACATTTCAGGAGTAGGACTACCTCGTCTTGCTAACATTACAAGTATTAGCTACGTCTAACCTGCTGAATAACAGCTATATCACCTGTAGCAGGAGTAATGCATCCCAAATGAGCACTTACTTTACTTAATAAATAAGGAAAATCCAATTCCTGAAGGTGACAAATCTCAATCAGTTTCGCCGATTAAATGATCACCTTTGTAATGAACATCAATTGGGCGTAACCAGATGCAATAAAGCATGTAGAATTACCGAATCTCAAAAGGTCATTCACCTAATTCAATAAAATTCACGGACACGTCACACCGTGGCGATTGAGGCGCTAAAATGGACCATCACAAGGTTAATATGAAGGAAATGTCTCCCACTGAAGCCAATGCGACAACTTTATTCAATAAAGCGCTTTTCTAGGGAGAAAGTGAACCTCAAATTCAATTTTAGCCGATTAGATTAAGGTGGTGGCGGTAAAAATATGGGCCAGTGGCTACGCGGTCGAGCGTACGGCTGGCAATCACAAAGTTGCGACTTAAAATCGACGCTGGGGGTTCACTCGGGCCCCCATCATCCCTCCGGATCGAGAAAACGAATACAGTACCAACATTTTTCATATTCTTAGCTCTTTTCGGTAAAGTCACTTTACCGAAAGAGCTAAGAATATGAATTACTGCAGTCACGAAAGCTTTAAATCAAAATTTAGTACCAGCATTGTGGGGAAATCGACAGTTGTTGTTTTCTATGGGTGGGATTCGCACCCGACCACATCAATGTGGAATTTCCTTCACTGGCTCAGGATACCTAAGGCAGGAGACGAGCAAATCGGTGCGCATTTAAGCAGCGAATCGCTGACTTTTGAGGCGGTAATAATAATGTGGCCTCACCTGCTTCCATAAAGCATGCATTGGCATGTATGAAATGAACACCTCGCAATGTGAGGAGATATGGGGGGCGGGAGGCATTGTAAAAGTTTGATTCTAGAAAGAATGTCTTGTGCCGAGACAAGACGTGGGGGCCTTGCTTGGTGTTATTGATTACTTTGCTAGATGCATGACTTTAAAAACCCAATACAGGCCCGTCACTTCAGCCCCACCTGGTTCTCGTGAGGATGCGTTGACATGCATATCAGGGAGACCGAGCGGGCCCTCCTTATCCGCTTCTATAAATACCGCGTGCGGTGGCGGACATGGGCCCTCGGCCGCGTCATACACATGAGGGACCGCCTGGCCCTGCGGTAGACTCGGGCCTTTACACGAGAGAGTGACATCAGCCATAAGCCGAGTTACAGAGGGTGTTGGGGGGAAGGGGGCATGTGGGAGCCGCGAGCCCCTCGGCCAAGGCCACAAACATGTGGCCTGGTTGCCGCCGCCGCCTGTTACCTGGTTTTCCTTGTCCTTTGGTTGCGCATCGCCCTGCGGATCCGACATCTCGTGCTCACTCGCCACACGGGCCCGGCGTTAGCGGACGAGAGAGAGAGTGAGAGAGACGAGAGGAGGAACCGCCGCTGCTTGGCGGTGGCTCGATACAGCCGCGGTGGTTAAACTTCGCTGTTGTGAGCGAGCTGCAAGCGAAGGGCGGGAAGCTTTTCTCTCTCCCGCTCGCCCTTTCCTCCTCGCTCGCGCCGCCGTCTGTTTACGCGTTCGCCGCCTCTCTCGCCTCGCATTGAAATTCCCACGCCTCGTGGGCGGGGCCCGCCGCGTCGCGCGCTTCCCATTGGGCGGCGTCCCCCCCCACGTGGCCGCGCGGCCCAATGGGGGCGCGCGAGCGCTCGCGGGGAGCGCTTATCCACGCTGCGGAATTGGAATCGCGCCCTCGCCAACAGGGCCGAGGTGGCGTTCGTTGGTGACGTCATGGGCCGAGCTGCGGGGGGGAAGAGTAGGGGGGGGGTTTGGGGGGAGAGTGTCGGGGAGAAGGGTGGGGGCTGGGGGCGGGGTGAGGGGGATGGGGGTGGGGTGAGGGGGGTGGTGGGGAGTGAGTGGCGAAGGGTGGGGGCTGAGGGGGGATGGTGGGGAGTGAGGGGAGAAGGGTGGGGGCTGGGGGTGGGGTGAGGGGGGTGGTGGGGAGTGAGGGGAGAAGGGTGGGGGCTGGGCTGAGAGGTGGTGGGCGGAGCTTGGCCATGTCAATCAAACAGAATTTGCTGTTACCCAGCGTAACGCCGATCTAAATTCATACAACCCCTGATCAGTGCCCTACCTTATTGCAGACCAATGCAGACCTTATTGGTCACCCCGTGCCCCTTGTAAATCTCGACACAAGGGAGCAACACAAATATATTTGTTTTTGCCCGTATTGAAACGACTGTACAGTACAAGAATAGGGAGTAAACCGTATGGGTTGACAGGTCTGCTCAACAAACAAAAAAAACGGTTACAAATGCTACCTTCATCGATAAATATTTCAAGATGGTAACCGGTTTTCCCTCAGTTTTGCAAAATGCGGTTACGGGGAATACCAAAAAAAAACCTACCTATAGAAAAAAACCATATACACAGAACTGAAGGTAAAAAGAACCTCTGATCTGGCATGGGCCGCTCGCTCCACATTTCGTCTCGGGGAGCCGCCGCAGCCTTCGCGCCGAGCGGTGATGTACACAGCTCCTCCTGGCGCTGTTCGTGTCGTTCTTGTTATTAACCACAGCGCCCCTTGTTGTTGTTGTCGTCGTTGTGGTGGTTATTAACATCGCGTACTCGTCGTTGCGTTGTACAAAGACAAAGATCACCCCCTCCACCCCCCCGTGAAGCCACCTTCATCAGACTGTTGGGGCGGGTGCTGTTAGCGAGTTGCAATCCTGTGAAGGCCGCCACTGTGGTACACGAGGTCGGGGTGGGGTGGCCAGCATCACGCCCGGCCGCCTTTGTCTCTCCACCGGGGGCGATGTTTACGACACACCGCACCCATTTGAGGCTGAGTCGACCTAGGGGAGGAGGCCCCAGAACCGGTTCAGATATAGTCCGGCGCCGGTGTCGAGATTCGTAGCGCAGCGCGCTCACCGCTACCATTGACTAACACACAGACTAACACACAGACACAGACTAACACACAGACACTGACTAACACACAGACACAGACTAACACAGACTAACACACAGACTAACACACAGACACACACAGACACTGACTAACACACAGACTAACACACAGACACTGACTAACACACATACACTGACTAACACACAGACACACACGGACACTGACTAACACACAGACACACACGGACACTGACTAACACATATACACACACGGACACTGACTAACGCACAGACACACACGTACACTGACTAACACAGACACACACGGACAATGACTAACACACAGACACACACGTACACTGACTAACACACAGACACACACGGACACTGAATAACACACGGACACTGAATAACACACGGACACACACGTGCACTGACTAACACACAGACACACACGGACACTGACTAACACACAGACACACACGGACACTGACTAACACACAGACACACACGGACAATGACTAACACACAGACACACACGGACACTGACTAACACAGACACACACGGACACTGACTAACACACGGACACACACGGACACTGACTAACACACGGACACTGACTAACACACGGACACACACGGACACTGACTAACACACAGACACACACGGACACTGACTAACACACGGACACTAACACACAGACACACACGGACACTGACTAACACACGGACACACACGGACACTGACTAACGCACAGACACACGGACACTGACTAACGCACAGACACACGTACACTGACTAACGCACAGACACACACGGACACTGACTAACACACAGACACACACGGACACTGACTAACACACTGACACTGACTAACACACGGACACTGACTAACACACGGACACACACGGACACTGACTAACACACAGACACACACGGACACTGACTAACACACGGACACTAACACACAGACACACACGGACACTGACTAACACACGGACACACACGGACACTGACTAACGCACAGACACACGGACACTGACTAACGCACAGACACACGTACACTGACTAACGCACAGACACACACGGACACTGACTAACACACAGACACACACTGACACTGACTAACACACAGACACACACGGACACTGACTAACACACAGACACACACGGACACTGACTAACACACAGACACACACGGACACTGACTAACACATAGACACACACGGACACTGACTAACGCACAGACACACGGACACTGACTAACGCACAGACACACACGTACACTGACTAACACACAGACACACACGGACACTGACTAACACACAACGCGACATTTGTATTCGTGGTGTCACCTCCAATGAGCGCGGTTGGCTACGCACGGTGTGAACAAAGTTCAGCAACAACATAACCAGCGCCTCCAACGCCAGTGGTACTTTAAAGCCCATACACCACGACACGTGTATGGGCTTTGTGCCAACCACTACTAACAGGCTACAGCCACTAGATCGTGTAAATAGATAAATGTGTCGTTAAACCAGCCACCACCCGACAGTCAATTCGTAAGGTTGGTAACTTAAATAAAACATGCCAATCTGTTGCTATGATAATAGGGGTTTCCCCTTTTTTCTGGCAACAAAACAGCTGTGTTAAGATGTTAAAACACCAAACTGAAACCTTTTACAAGGGATGATGTCTGCATTAACCACTGCTTGTGGTCAGAATGCAAATAAAAACATAGTCTGATAATATATTGGCATTGTCCTTGAAACCGATTGGTCTACTCCAGAGACAGCTTTCTTTTGAGCCTCGTCTCGAACGGTATTAGGAGTTCAGCACACCGGTGTGTTGGAGAGCAAACCCACAACATTTACAATCTGAGTACGACGTTTCGCCAGTAATTACAACGAGCTGCATCAGGCGACAGCCAGATTTGTGGAGAAGTCCTCTAGTTTCTGCAGTAATGCCTACACACCACCAGGACCACCTACACACTTCCCACTCACTGCAGTATTATATGCTAGGGTATGGAAGAGTTCAGGATCTAAATGCCAATGTCGAGGCCTCCTGGCTGCGGCGAGATGACCTCAGGAGAGATAATTCGTGTAGCGTTGCTTATTGATAACTCATCCAGTGGTCTACATTACGGTCCCATAGTTTGGGTTGCGTGGCCACGATCGCACGCCCCACTGTGACTTGTCTTTAACTGTGTCCATCTACACGAGGCTCCGTGCATCTCTGTGTGCCTCTGTGTTTCTCTCTGTGTGTCTCTGGGTTTAATTTATGGTCCATAGTGTTGCTTGCATGGCCGGGTTTGCACTGCTGTGGCTTGTCTGTCGAATTTTACATTTATGGACGAGATGTGTGCATCGGCATCCCAACACTACTACCCTTACACCACTGCCGACACGACTCCCGCTTGATACAACTACCGCAAGGGAGCAACATCTGTTTTGTCATCTTGGCTTTGCTCGCTAACTTCAACAACCCGTACTGACCAGAAGATGAAGGAGAATTAACTGTTAAGTGAGGGTGAAATGCATTAGAGCATCGTATTGGGTAACTTTAATACAAACGTTGGTACGAGGTGCAGAAAAGAGAGGGTCGATTGGTAAATTTGGTTTGGAGTGAGGAATGAAAGAACATCTGTTAAGAGTTTGCAGCCAGCTGGGGATTGAAAATATTGAATACCTTTTACAAAAAGTGATTCTCGTAAATGGCCTTGGAGGAGCTCAAATGGTGAAATCAGGAATGAGAATGCCTTGATTCTAATCGACAAACCCCAGAATGTCAAGAGACGTCTCTGCCCAGAACAAATGTAGCACAGGAAGCGATCTCAGTCGGTGAGAGACGAGTTTAACTCTAAAATATCCAATTAGAGGTCAAGCTGGTTAAACGTGAAGACGAGATAACATAAAAAAACATGCAGCTCACAAAGTGTCCGAGTTATCACAACTTTGAACTTTACTGGAATTCTTTATTCAAACCCTCCATTTGTTTTACTTTTCTTTAACTTTGTAAATCTTTAACTAGTACAGTAGATTAATGTTTAACAAATTACGTGCGCTGTGTTATTTTGACATTGTAGGAAAAGGTGGCGCAGTGGTTGGCACACTGTAACAATACTTCATATGATGGGTATAATCGTCACTGGGGAGACGAAGGTAGCCTGGCGTTGTGGCGACCACACCACCCTATCGTGCGCAGTGCTGGCCTTCTTGACAGGTACTCGCAGCACTTGCGCCAGCAGCACTGTGTAGGCTACAAGGCGGATCTTTGTGTGGTTTTTTTGCTGCAGTGTGAGACCATGGGGAGATGGGGCTGCCTGGGCCTGCTGGCTTGGCTCTGTCTCCTCTACTGCACGGGCCTGTGGGTGTTCACGCGCGGCTTCCTGCTCAACCGCTCCGAGATCGTCCGCAACAGCTCGTGCGCCGACTTTCCCGCCCCGCCTGGCCTGCCCACACCGCCGGGCGCCGCCACCCTGAACCGGAGCTGCTGGGCGGTGCCCGCGCGCTACCGCCGCGCCGTGCTGGTCGTCATCGACGCGCTGCGCCTCGACTTCGCCACGTACGACGCGGCGAGGAGCGAGCCCAAGCCGTACGAGAACCGCCTGCCCGCGCTGCACGCCGCGCTGCAAGCGACGCCTCGGCACGCGCGCCTCTTCCGCTTCCGTGCCGACCCCCCCACCACCACGATGCAGCGCCTCAAGGCCCTGGCTACGGGCGGACTGCCCACCTTCATCGACGTGTCGAGCAACTTCGCGTCGGCGCGCGTGGAAGAGGACAACCTCGTCGGGCAGCTCGTCTCCGTCGGTCAGTGGCGCAGTGTCGGGTGGGAGGGGAGGCACTGGATTGGACTGAGCCCCTCTCCACCCCCCTTCTGAAAGCAACATTGGAGATATAAAGAAAAAAAAACACAAGTGGAGAAAATATTCGGTGGTAGAACATAGGTTAACTTTTTGGAATGGCCTGCGAATTAAGATGAAAGCAGAGTGCTCGAAAGGACAGAGATGATAATGCTCTTTAGGTGTTGGGAATATCTCTCGGGGAAACGAAGAGGAATGAAGAAGAAGAATGTTCGTGGTAGATACTAATGGGAAGGTTCTATGGAGATGCCACCAATGTAGGGCAGGAGTAAAGGGAGACTGAGCGATAGGGGGATATGGTGGAATTAAATATGAAGACAGTGAGTGTGACTAGGGAAGGCTCAAATTAGTAGCACAGTCCAAGGTAGGTCATAGGGCACTCAATTAAAATCGGTCAGAAGCTGTTATTGAGCACAGGGCATAAATGTTCCTGTGTTCACCGGAGGCCATGTTTGAATTGTAACGCCGTGATGTGGGTTTGCTGTGCGGTGCAGGCAGGAAGCTGGTTTTCCTGGGAGATGACACGTGGATGGGGCTGTTCCCCACGCATTTCCACCGAGCCTTTCCCTTCCCGTCGCTCAACGTGCGCGACCTGCACTCTGTGGACGATGGCATCTTGCAGCACCTCCACAGCGAGGGTGAGAGTCCATGTAATGAACACAGAGCAATGGTTCAAATTATTGTTCGACTCTGAGCTCTGGTTCTGCACCTCTGAATTGTTGATTGAACAATGCGTCCGATTCATTATGAATTGTACATTGGTATCCACGGACGAAATGCACCTTACAAATGCAAATTATAATTGTTATTCATTTAGAAGCGCCTTCTGGCTGTGATATTGAATACTCAAACCTCGTGTCTTTTCAGGGGATGCTATATTTCACTCGGGATGGAATGTGATTTCACACCGTTTAGTATGTGATGATAGATTCATCAAAGTTATGCCTCCGAGTGATAGTGCCTTCTCAGATTCGTTTATTTTGATAAGATAACCATAAACGTTTGTATAAACAGATTTTTATTTTTTCAAATCTCGTATAACAAACACCATAATCTACTCTTGTGAATGAAGATATCAGGGGAAATTCATCATTGCTCGGTAGTTGGCATGATTTGCTAATGCCTTGCAAAAAATACCGAGTTCCAGTGGGAATTGAACCACACACCTCATACTGGTAATGACAAAGCATTGCGACCACTATGTACCCATACTAATAATAATTGCAAAATTCTAAATTACATTTTGCAAACTTTCATTTCTGGTACATGCGTAAGACACGGTGTGTGGAAATAACATTCTTCATGCGTTTATAATTGTTATTTTGTAGAAGCGGGAAAAGCTTTTGCAAAACAGTAGCTTATCCTCCGATGCCATCATCAACTCTTTTCAAACACCCTGAAAGCCCCCTTCTAATTGAAATGTTTCCGTCACCAGGAAGTAAGGAAAGGCACTTGCGTGATTAAATCCTTTCAACTCGGGTGGTTCTGAAGGATCCTGTTGTCCTTAATAATGCTTCAATAATTAATGAACATAAACTAATTACACAATTAACGTTAATCATGAATTGGGCAATGCGATCGGAGCTCCCACCACAAGTTGTCATTCAGTGCAGGGGTAATAGCACAACTAAATTGACGTTTATCCTGTGGAAAAGTATATTGTTAAATTATACGTGACATTTATATCACCATGGACTTTCAACGATTCACACTAAAATACCACTAATTATCTTAATTGAAAATGATAAGAATAACAGGTTACTTGAAAGCTAAACCAAAACGTCTTCACCATTTACCTGCGTAGAATGTGGAATGGAGGTGAGGACGTAGACTGCATCGTCAGTGTTTATTGCTCCATTAACTAATCAGCTTACTTGACCACGTGTTTACGGTCACGTGAACAACGATAATAAAAGGCGTAAATGACACGGTTAATCTGTGGAAAATATGCTCATGGAAAGTTGAAAGTTAACTAAACTGTTAGAATTTCACGCGAGCAAATGCAACACGGTTTGTCCGTGTGTTGTCTCCGTGTGCGCGCGCGCCTGCGTGCACAGTGGCCAAGAGCGACTGGGACGTGATCATCGCCCACTTCCTTGGCGTTGACCACGTTGGCCACCGCCTGGGGCCTCTACACCCGGCCATGTCTGACAAGCTGTCGCAGATGAATGAGGTGCTCAGGTTAGGACACCTCGCTCGCCCGCTCGCCCACCGGTCCGCCCAACAACTTGCCCACTCGCCTGCTTTTCTTGCCAGCCGGTTTTCCTGCTGCCTTTCCAGCCTGCTCGCCAAACCACCCTCCACGCCTTCCGCCATGGCCCGTTCACGTGCTGCCTCACTCATTCTCCCGCTCGCCTGCCGGCTCGCCGCTCTCTCCTCCGCGTGCGGAGGCAGACGCTCCTTTGCGTTACGCATGAGAGCACGCTTGTGTGAGGTACCAGTTCGTTTTGGTTTGTTAAGCCCTCGTGGTATTGCTCACAGGACCGTTGCGCGTAACAGCTCCATGCATAATCCTAGCTGTAAGGTTGGCACATTTGTACTGCATTCTTGAGCCATAAAAATTGTTAAATTAGAGTAATAATGCATCACCTCTTGTGGCACTATTTTGGGCCAAAATTCTACTTGAGAATTATAATTTTTGTTTTATTTTTGTGTCTCTGTTGCACAGATTTCACTCCATAATCTTAATTTTAACAGCATATAATTTGCATAGTAAATTTTCACACGCATGATTCAATACATGTATTGCGAGTGCAGTCATTCATTTTCATTGATAAATTGATGCATTGTTGCATACTTATCTGCGATTTCGTCCCCCATGTCACCGCAGATAAGAGGCGCTCTCCTGTGCAGTATGGTCAAGACTTAACAATTGCCACAGTCTGCCCTGACCAAGTTTTGGCTTTTTAGGATTTTATAATTCAGTTGAAAATGACTTGCAGATCAAGCCAATGCATCGGGAAGCCACCAGCATCAGTAGTTATCCCAGCAGGTATCTCTATCCGAGGTGTTAGAACATTTCTGGGAGGTATGTGTGTGTAATTGTGGGTAGTGGTGGTTTAGCGGTTAGCTTGCTGTGCTTTAAACCCGGCGTCCCGAGTTTGGTTCCTGCTCACGACCAACACCAATGACGATTATCTGTACCGATCCTGGGCCTCCCCTAGGCCGACCCAGCCTCTCATGAGTACCGAGTGCGGTGTGAAACATCGCCACTCGAGAGACAAAGGCGGCCGGGCGTGGTGCTGGCCACCCACCCCCTCAGTACCGTTCCAGCCTTCATAGGTGCTCGCTAACAGCACTTGCCCCAACAGTATGTTATGGATGGCTATACGGGGGATCATTGTATTTGTTGCATTCTCCCGCTTCCCCTCTCCCCCGCTGCAGTAACCTGCTGCGAGAGCTGCCGGAGGACGCGGTGCTGCTGGTGATGGGCGACCACGGCATGACGGAGACGGGCGACCACGGCGGAGAGAGCGAGCGCGAGACCAGCGCCGCCCTCTTCGTCTATAGCCCCATCCCCGTGTTCAAGGGGGCACAGCCACGGGTACGCCTGTGGCACTGCCTCGTAACCCAAGGGCACGAGGGTTTAATACAAAAATAAATCAATCTCAGTTTCAAAGTTGACATTCGAGGCGCAGAACAGAAGTACACGCGGAGAAGGATATTCCGAGCAGCTGAAATCGGCTCGTGGCCAGTCGTGTGACTGTGAGAGCTGGAAACAGCTTGGGCAGAACTTCATCCAACAGTGGATCATCGCGGCGGACGTTCAAGATGGTTTTGATTGAGTAAACAAATAGGAGGCATTCTTTTCAAAGTATCGGTCATAGGTTGTGCTGCTTCACATAGATGGGAAACCATGCTTTATAAAGTGTAACAAACAAATGTCACTTTTAAAGCAAGATGTTTTAATCAAGCCTTGTGGTTATTTGTGGCTAGTTTGGCATTACGTTTGAAAAACTAAAATCTGATATAACACATTCGTGAAATAAATACATAATCTATTTCACTCATTCATTACCGATGGATGCTGTGCTTGCACAGGAGCCAAGGACCGTGTTCCAGACAGACCTGGTACCTAGCCTGGCGCTGCTGCTAGGCGTGCCCATTCCCTACAGCAACCTGGGCCAAGTCATCCCAGAAATGTTTGGAGGCGAGGATGATGAGGAGGAGGGTGACGGCGGCCTTCCCAGGGAGGGTGAGCCCATTCCTGCGGACAGCGAGAGTGTGGAGCGAGAGGAATCGGACTTGGCTCAGCTGCCAATGCATCTGCAGGCGCTGCACCTCAATGCACAGCAGGTACGCCATGGCATTTGGATTAGAGGCTTTGCTGCCTCTTCACCGCTGTATAACCGAGTTGCGCCAGGGCCATCTCTAAGTCAGCCCAGCGCCGGTCCGTGACCTCCGGATTGTTTTTCCATTTCAGAAGTCGAGCCGTGCACCGATGTCATACGCAATCAATGTTTCATTAACTATTAACGACTATTCTCTCCACATTCAGAAACATAGGTTTAGAGTATTTGGCTGCTTGAATCGTGGGCCCACTTTAGCCACTTCGTTGGCTTATCATCACTTCTGAAAAGAGCTATACAGCTCAGTGGGCCTTACCTGGTAAAATAAAAAAAATGATTAATAGTTTAATTTAGCTGTCGGTTGGTGCTCACGTTGCTCCGTGCGTCTCGTTTCCAGGTGCAGCGCTTCCTCGACTCGTACGCGGTGCTGTCCGACGACCTTCCGCCGGACGGCCTGCACGCCCTGCGTCGCCGCTTCTCCGAGGCCGCGGCCGCATACGATTCGCTGGCGTCGTCCCCGAGCCCCGGCCTCCGTGCCACCGCCGCCACCGCGCGTGACGTCGAGGCGAGGCTGCGTCGCTACTTGAGCGGCGTGCGCAACCTGTGCGTGGCATCGTGGGCCCGCTTCAGCGTCCCCGCCATGTTTGCCGGCGTCGCGTTGCTGCTTTGCGCCTGCGCGGCGAGCGCCGCCCTGAGCCGGCGCTCGCCGCGGGAAGGGCTCCCTGGGGTCGTCGCCACGGCGGCGCTGGTGGGAGCGCCGGCAGGGGCGGCGGTCGCCGCCTTGACCGCGACGGCGTCCGGGATGAAGGCCGAGTTGTGCCTGGCCGCACTGTGCGGCGCCAGCGTGGCGTCCTTGCTGGCTTTCGTCAAGGAATGTCTGGGGACCCCGCCGACTCCGGCTCCCGCCGGTCCGCAAGAGGCCGGCGGCAAGGACTCCGGCAAGGACTCCGGCAAGGACTCCGGCGTGGGCATGAGTGTCACGGCCGTGATCGCGAGCGGCGGCTGCCTCGCGCTGCGCTTCTTGGCGCCGTTTTCAAACAGCTACTTGATCCAGGAGAGCCAGGTGCTGCCCTTTCTCCTCCAGTCAGTGGCTGTGTGGTCCTTGCTGAGCTTCAAGTGGTCGGGGACTCTGACCCTGTCTCTTCCAGCCGGCGGCGCAGAAGCGTCGAAGTCCGCTCAGCAGCAGCAGACCGTAGCCGGGAGCCCTGCGCTGCGCCGCCAACAGAGCTGGTACATAGTGGCACTGACGCTGGGTCTGCTGTGCTGCTCGCGCCTCGCCCTGACGCTGCGCGTGTGCCGTGACGAGCTCACGAGCTGCGAGCCTTCGACGCTGCTCGTGCCGCCGCCGCGGCAGCCGGGCCGCTCGCGTGCCAACGGCCTCCCGCTGGCGCTGGCCGCCGCGTCCCTCGTCGGCGCGTGGGCGTTGACGCGGGCCGCGCTCCGCCACCTGGGCAACCTGAACGATCTGCTGTCGCCACCCACGCTGCTGGTGCGCCTGGGCCAGCCCGTGGCGCTGCTGTGCGTGTGCTGCCACTGGGCGTTGGCGCTGTTCCCCGAGCGCGGGCGCCAGGCGTCGCACGTCCCCGAGTGGGCGCAGGAGGCGTTCCCGCGCGCCGTGTACGGCGTCGTGGCGCTGGGGCTGCTGCTGCTGCTGTGGCGGCCGCTGGCCGTGTACGTGGAGCGCCGTCGGGGCAACGCCGCCGCCGCCGGTGCCGCCGCCGGTGGCCCCGGCGACGCGGTCCCGTTCGTCGACCCGCTGGGGGGGTTCGCGCACCCCGAGGAGAGGCTCAGACACGTCATCCCACAGATATACAGGTGCCTGACAGACAGACAGCGTTGTGATGTTTAAATTTCCTACAATTTGTTTCCCAGTTGTGCCATCGGTGTCACCGTTTTGATCTCTCTCAGAACCTGCAAAGCATAATGGGAGGACCGATCTTCGGTAGACAACGTTGGTCATGATCTGACAAAAGTCTGACCCTTGACTCTAGCCCAGGGGTCGGCAACCACAATAACAAGAATATTTTTTTTTCAAATTCGGTAAAAAAAAAACAAATATTTTAAGATCCGCAATGCACGTAAATACGAGACGGTGGTCCTCCTTAATAAACAACGTCACGAAGCATTCCTTTAAGAGCCGCATACGGTTCCAAAACCGCAGGTTCCCGGCCCCTGCTCTAGCCTCTTAAGCCAGGTCAGGCATTACCGATGTGGGCCCCATGATAACCGCAATGCTTTGTGCTCCAATGCAAGAGAAGCAGCGAGAGAAAGAGCATCTGGGCACCACAGTGGCAAGATGTTAACCACCTCGCCTGGTATAGAGGTCTTGGGTTCGATCCCGACCTTGACGCCCGCTGTATATTTGGAGTTTGCACGTTCTCCCCGTGGTTGCGTGGATTTTTGTCCGGTTCCTCCAGTTTTTCCCTTCCACATTTAGAATCAACATGGCTTCAGAGTATTTGTCTGCTGCTATAAATCTCCACGTGATAAGCCACTTTGTTGAGCTATCATTTGTGATAGCCAGGTCACTTCGGAAAAAGAGCCACATAGCTCAGTGGGCTTTACCTGGGAAAATAAAGTTTAGTTTATCTGGGTCCGCCGCCACCCCCCCCTGCTCCCCCCGCACCAAGGCACGTGTCGCGCTCGCTCGACGTCCAGCTGAGCGCGACGACGACGACGCCGGCGGCGCCAGCAGCAGCAGCAGGCGGTGCGGACGAGGGCGGCGGCGGCGACCACAGCGTGGCGGCGTTCGGCCTGGGCTCGGCGTACACCGCCACGCTGCTCGTGCTGCTCGGGTGCCTGGTTCTGCTGCTCGCCATGCTGCACCAGCCCGGCGCCGCGCCCTCCTTTCTGCTGCTCTTCGTGCAGGCGGCGCTCATGCTGGAGCGCCGCGCGGCCGCCGTGAGCCTGCACGCGTCGCCAGCGGGGGACGGCGCAGGTGATGTCACGCGACGTGGCAAGGCACCCCTCGGCAGCGGTGCATCCGCTGTGGGTGCAAGGAGATGTCCGTGTACCCCCGGGATGTTTAGATTTGGCTCGCAATATTTTTCTGAGAATCGTGGTATTTTTGACCCCCTTCAACAAGCAGACGCAAATGCTGCATTTATTGATGTCGGAACCTTTAAATAAACAGTCACGCAATCAGTGGCCTCTTCACTAATTGGGAGTGCAGTAGGATTTCAAAGTGCGGGGGAACTTCTGAGATCCCATCTGTTATAGCACCACTGATATACTTTGTTAAAAAGTGAACCCACGCCAGCTTTATTGTAACACCCACAATCTGCTTGCACCGCACCGTCTCCCGCGGCGTTCACCGCTCGACCCCCGGCAGGGCTGCTGTGCGTGCCGCTGCCCGAAGTGGCCATGTGGTCGCTGGCCGCCTGCCAGTTCTTCTACGCCACGGGCCACCTGCCCACCTTCCCCGCGCTGCAGTGGAACGCGGCCTTCGTCGGCTTCCACGGAGGCCACAGCGGGCACGTGCTGCCCGCCCTCCTCGTGGGCCTCAACACCTACGCGTCTCACGCGCTCTTCGCGGGTACGCCTGCGTCCCACCCCCCACCCACCACCCAAACCTCCCACACGCCACCCGGGCAGGCCACGTCACCGCATCGGTGACATGCAGCTAGGTTTCACCACGGCAGGTGATTGAGAAAAGTTAAGCTTTGTGCTCTGGGGTGCATGGAGTCGTGCTACCTCACGAGAGTGAAAACCTGATATGCCGTGGGCTTCTCTTAACTGCCCAAAATCATTTGCAGTGACGGCGAGTTACGTCCTTTAAAGTGACTTATTTATTAATCCATGGTCATAAAATGATCAGCGCTTTGTGGGAAATAATAAGTGGTTTCGCTTTGGAGAGACTGTCATAGGTATGTGGCTTTTCCACCACTGGTTAAGTGCTGCCTACAGAGATCAATGCTGTCCGACATTGGTTGAAAGCGTCGAAACAATACGACTTAAAAAGCCGCGGTTACCGTCGCCGTTCCCAGCCGGACTGCCGCTGCTGCTCACGTGGCCGTTTGCGCGCGAGGCCGGCGCGGCGCGGAGAAGCCCGGCGGACGAGGGCGCCACGGGGATGGAGATGCGACTGCACGGCCACCCCAAGCTGCTGCACGGGGCCCTGTTGCGCCTGGGCGCCACCTACCTGCTGCTCGTCGGGCTGCAGGTGACGCACGTGGGGGCCCTCCCCCCTTCCAGCTGCACCGGGGGTCAGCAACCTGCGGCTCTTTGAGGACAGCTTCGTGTGACGTTATTCACGTGCGACGTTATTCACGTGCATTGGCGGCTCTTGAAATATTGAGGGGTTTTTTTTTTACCGAATTCGAAAAATATGGCTCTTCTTGTTATTTTGGTTGCCGATCCCCTGAGCTACACACCGACCGCACTATCAGAGTCATGGCACCAACCCATGGACGGATCCATGGGTTGTACGTAGCTCATCCCATAGGCCCCGTGCCTTTCCTTCGATGGTCTCCAGCCCCTTCCTTTTTAAACTGCATTTACGTTTTCAACAAAGAAGATATAGCGTGGCAGAAGCAGGGATACACAGGCGCTCCGCGGCCGGTAGAAGCGAGTGGATCTCGAGGAAGAGTGACTTGACTAGTTGTTAACTTAACCCTCGTGCCGTGTGTCGTCCGGTCTGCGAGCAGCTCACAGCAAGTGTCTGCGCTGCTGCAGTGCTTCGCCGCCACCTCATGGTCTGGGGGATCTTCGCTCCCAAGTAATTGCTCGCATGCATCATTAATAATTCGCAGCACATATGGGTTTACAGAAAATGTACATTTTCTGACTTCTAAGTAACACTCGACTGCCTGTCTCATCAGGCCATATCGCTAAAAGTGACTGGGAACGTGCGTCTGCGTACGTGCGTGTGCGTGCATGCGTGTGTGTGCACGTGTGTGTGTGTGTGCACGTGTGTGTGTGTGTGCACGCATGCGTGTGGCTGTAGGTTCCTGTTCGAGGCCGTGGGCTTCGTAGTGACCGGCGCGTGTCTGCTGCTCGGCGTCGCGTTTGTGCTTCGCGTGGATGCCGCCGTCGCCGCATTCTTCCGCCGGCTCTGCCAGGCGCTGCCGTACTAGTGGGGCAGGAGGAGGGGTGGGACGACGGTTGGCGAGCGACGACGGTCGGTGAGCGACGACGGTCGGCAGGCTTGGAACAACGACAACCGTGAGCAGTGGAGTCTGTCAAAGCGGGGAGGGAGACCGGGTGGAGAAGAGCGATTTGAGTTTATATGGAGGACCCATAACGTGCGGAAGGTCATGGAGGTGATGGGAGTGAGCATTGTCTTCACGCTTTTGCAGAGCAAATGCCAAATCTATGGAGAAGACCATCGGTAGGTCTATAGGTGTACAGTTACCTGCAATGAAGCCCGACGTGCAATTGCTGAAACACTGACGGTGAGCCACCGTGAACTCAATAATTCAACGACGCAAATCCACCGCACATGAGCCGAAGCCATTCCCCTGGCTAACTCATCGTGGCTTCGACTTCGAGTGTTGCGATTCTTCGAGCCATACGAAAGAAGAAGGGGAGACCCCATACGACGTGGAACACGACCCGTCTACACGCCGGGCAGGGAACGCGCGTCGTCGCTGGTTAAGGTTCGCCTCTCTTGCCCATCACGAGCTCGTGTGCTGATGCTGCGGGTGTGGGTAGGTGCCAGAGTGGAGCATCCAGCTGCGAGTGCCAACCACAGACCTCGTCTGCAACCCACAGCGATGTGTCGCAAACACCAATGTTGTCACAAGCACGAGCGTTTAAACACGCGGAAAGTCTCGGAGCACCGAGGCCCCCCCCCCCCCCCTTTCCAGATTGTGAGCAGTACACCCCTTGTGCCTGGTAAGGCGTGGGAAGGAACAGACAGTGGTGAAGACGGGTCGTGTACACGACAGCTGCGGTAGTGGGAGCAGAGGGCATCGCGGCATCCGATTGCCGGCTTTTCCAGGCGGTTCGTTTGCCGCGCTCGAGCCGTTTCTCCGTTGGCAACGCGCAACGTGCTAATGTCACAAGACATTCCTACAACCGTTTCCGGAGGCTACTCTTCGTATCATAACTTGACAATGAATATGCAGTATCGTTTATTTTATTTTTTATAAGCATATGAATTTATATAACAACAAATCAGGTTTTCATAAATATCTAATTTGCAAAGAAATATCAAATATTTATATTTAAGGCAGACTTGTTGCTAATTGAAGAGTGCATTAGCCAACTGTTCAGAAGTTCAGGAGCCAACTGCACTGAAAGTTAAAGAAAAACAGCATTGAGCTTCATTGATTTTCCTTCAAAGACTCCTCCTGTCATGACCAAGGCACCGCTGACAGTGGATTAAGGGAGAGGAGAATTGACTCCCTGGGCTTGTAGAGACCGACCAGTGGAGAGCGCACACACAACCCACGCTGGAGATGTTCCTATGCAAAGCCAACGAACTGGACGGTCTGCTTAGAACGGTGACACGCAAGACCACGGGCAGCCGACGAATAAATACGTCTTAACCCCTTTCCACAGTTTTGACCTGGTCAACTTCTGGTTGGAATCCCCTCCCCAAAACAACGACGCCTGCCTCGCGCCGCTCCTTTGAGAGATGCCGTTGCGCGAATCCAATCTCGCATTGCACGGCGAGGGTACCGAACACCCGAATGGATTGGCAGCCTTGCAGCCGTCCCATCGTGTTCTTTGGTGAAAGACCTCGACAGGGTCCAGTGATCGCTCTGTACAGTTTACGCCTGGTGTGGGGGAAACCTACACTCTGCGACTTTGTTTCACGTGACCAGTGGTCGCAACGTTGCACGTATCCGTCATTGCAAGCGTCTCGTCTTGGCCGCACCAATTGGTTACGAGAGTTGAGGATATGTTTGGCCCGTGTCTATAATTTGTGTGCTCAGTCACTACTGTCACTGCAAGTGTCCTCTTGCAGTGACAGGTGTGTGTGGCCCGCCAAAGATATTTGAATGTTTGGCCCTCTGTAAGGTAACTTGTCCACCCCTGCTCTCTGAGTGTTTTGCATTGGGAAGATGGATTGTGTTGGTCTCTGACCTGTAAAGAACACAAACCTTTTGCATGTACGTGCCATCGATTTTTTGTTTTAAAGATTCGTTCCGGTGTTGTTGTTTTTTGTAAGCAAATATTTATTTGAAATTTTTCAACTTGAAATGCAGCTCGGTCTGGGTTTTTTTTAAAGTGAGGATTTGCCTTTAAGATTGTCGCTACACTGCACAAGACTTGTACGGATTATACGTTTATACTTGAATTAAATATATCAACATTGGTGGTGACCCATCTGTATGTTCAGTGATTACATTTCAATAAAAAGATAAATTCCCTGGTACATGGTTGAAATCCTCTGTATGCGGAAGTTTTTTTGCGTGTCATTCTCTGAAATTCGCATTCACGCTTTTTTTCGTGTGCGTCAGGTTTTCTTTTGATTCTGTTCAAACGACGTACATGTACGTCGTTGGAATGGAACCGTAAGAAAAAATAAAATAACTTTCATCAGTACAGAGGCTCTCACAAGGCCATGCGAGATGATGTGGCACGATTTGGTGGCAGCTATCATAGTGCAGTGGTGTCACTACGGTTGTCTGCGGTGAGTAAAATATCTTAAACAATGGTGCTGCGCATCTCTAAATAAAATTAACTCAACCGCTTGCGAGTTTCAGATCCAGCGGTGAACTCGACCCCATGCTGTAACTTGCAGACGTCTCAGGGTTAATTGGAGGTGAATTTGAGCTTTGTTTAAGCTCCTGCCCCTTCCTGCTTGTGCCCGCCCTTTCATCTCGAGCCCCCTTCCTGTTTAGGCCCGCTCCTTCAGGCATTCGTGTGGACGGAGTCTGTCGAGGTGCGTGTTTTTTTACGTGGGATAAATCCAGAGAAAATCCATACAAATGAGCGGACAACACGCACATTTCATATAACCAGCCTACTTGATGTACTGTATTCAAAAAGCACACCCAACTCCGCACGAAAAGTGTTTGTCGCACGATTTCCGTGCGAGTAAACTTGCGGTGCCGTTATCGCGACAACCCAAAATAAAGTCCACTCCGTTCACAGCCTTGCACTCGTTTTGTTGCAGTTTATTTACTTACGAACATTAACGTTGCAACCACGTGAACGATCATCGGCTCGAGTCAACCTCTAACCTCCACAAAGCATTTAATGCGAAACATTCAGCCGACCTCTGGATGGGCACGCCGTGGCATTGCCGACCGCCGAACAAGGAGTTTTGAGAATGGGCCGTTATAATTGCGCAAACGCTAACTGCAACTACCATACTTGTCAAATCACCCATAACACAAACGCGTCCGTAGTGGTGTATCGTCACTAGAGGTCGAAGGGTCACGCTAGGTCAACGCGACATTTTCGTTAATATTCTCAAACGCGCTTTTTTTTTCATAAACCACACCCTCTTAAGTCTTCTGTGCATAGCAGGAGTCATGTTGCAACGAACAACATACAATGTGTAATCATCAAATTATAACATTTGCTTGATTTTCAAACACGCGGTATTATTAAAAATGAAAGAGTCCCCAGGATTCAGCGAGCCCTGGCGGTGCTCACCTCTGTTGGTCCTGAGCTAGCAGTGGAAATTCCACATTTATGTGCTGGGGCCAATGGTCAAATAACGACCTCTGTGTTGACTTCTTGCCAAGTGGGGCAGCCTCACCGGGTGGCACTCAATCTGCCGACCCCGAATGGACCGCGACTAGGACATGGGACTTGGAACGGTCTTGAGATCACGAGCACTACGCTGCAAAATCAATCGTTCGCCCCCACACGCACGTGCGCGTACAGCAATATGGTGAGTTTGGCACAGAGATTGCGTTGCCCTCGGGGTGACCTTGGTAGTATATATTGACGTACGTCAAGGTTTCGTGAACAGGCATTGCGAACCACTTTCTGGAACGGATTACGCAGATTTACCTGCTCGAGGGGTGTGAGAGCTGAAACTAGGGGAAAGAGACGACCACTGGAAATTGAACAATTACAAAAGTTCTAATGAGAGTGACAGAGCTGAATATGGGAAGAATAAAATCTTTGGTCGAAAGAGAAATTGCTCTTGTATGGTGAACAAATCACGATTTAATACCACGAAAAAAATCAACTATGTTGAAGCCGGATTGCTAAATAAAATAAATCACAAGTTAAAAATTGTTTAAAACTCCAGCAGCACTGAATCAAGATGAGATTTAAAAAAAATTGTATCAACTTGGGAGTGGTCCATTTGGCAATCAGTGACGTAGGTTACAATTCGTTATATCTGTTTACAATAAGCTTATTGGTTTCCAGCACAAATGAACTCTCGCTAACGTGATCTCGCTAAGCAGGCCTAAAAGCAGAGCCCCACCAAAATCAAGACCCAGCACTGGCCACGTGGCAATTAAACTTCTCTTCTGCCACCACTTGCAGCGTGAGCTCGTACACCAAACTCAAGCCTGGAGGCCCTCAACCAGCGTCACACTTCCCGAACGTTCTTCACACGCGGATGTTCCCATTGGGCTCCCCCCGACAGAGAAGGTTCGCTATGCCTGGGCACAAAGGGCCACCGGGGAGGAAGAGATTGGACCACAGCCGTGGTCACGTGGCTCACAGCAGCGTGGTGCAGTGAGCATCTTCGGCTGGGAGATGCTCACGTCCACTCTCAAGCAGAAGTAACGCCGACACGCGGGCACACGTCTACAAAGTGTCACGGCAATGGAAGACCCTCGGGAGCGGGCCAGTAGCTCGTCAACTTGGGGTGTCCGCATTGGGAAGCGTGAGAGCACCATAGTGGCCATCATGACCACATTTTTATAGCCGAAAACCAAAACTTGGGGTTTATTTTTTCTACGATTTAAATACTAAGATGAAAAGGCAATATTCACGCAGTGAATATTGCCTTGATGAGGTGACTCCTTGAAAAGCCATTTCAACTCAATGGGCTCTCACTTTATTATTACAAAGTAAATGAACGAGAGGTTGACGCAGCATTGGCAACTTTAATTTAATACGTTTCACTCAGCCGGGCGAGAGCCTGGTGAAAATCACTTCTTCACCAAGACAGACGCCTCCCCCGCCACCAATCAAAACGGAACATTTTTTAAAAAAGTATTTTTCTTTTAATCCTTAAAACAAACTAAAATATAACGTTGTAGCTGTGGGCAAATTTCGCCTTTTGGGATTAGTTCTACGACACTGGCACGCGATGTCCCACTGTCGTGATTTGACGGGGCCTTCAACGTCCAGCGGACGATGATCTTTGGCGGCAACATCCTGCGGGAACTTACCGGGCTGCGCGAGTGGGAGTTGATCCCCCCCAGTGTGTGCAAATGACCCGGAGGGGAACCGTGCTTCCCCGCCGGCGGACACAGCCGAGTACGGTCCAACAAAGAACATTCCACGCATGCGGCCGTGCGCGCAACGCACAAGCGGCGTGGAACGGGGGGTGGGGGGCAGTCTCGAGTTGTCATGGACAATAATTTACAGCCCTTTGTCAGCCTACTGCCGGATGAAGGCCTCCCCCGTGCCGCGTCGATCGTGGGGGATGTGCGACCGGTACCAAGATGGTTAGCACGGATTTGTGAGTTGAGAGAGAGAGGGCCCAGCACCGGGCTCAGATATCAAGCGCCACTGATGTTAGCCGTGGCAGGGAATGTAACGCGGGTCGCCGGCGTTCACCGTGCGGTGCGCTCAGCAAAATTACATTGATGATGATGACCCCTCTGTTACTGCAAGGTTCGACTTTTTTACGTTTAAAAACTGTTAAATTTTCTTCGGGTATCAAGCAGCCTGCCCAGTGCACACACAAAAGCGACGTCTGTAGCCAAAGCTGTCCTTCCACGCCTACGACGCGCAGTGCCGCGGTGTTGCCGCCACGGCGGTGCCAGGGTGCCACCGGCACATCGAGCGCGCACAGCAGACGACTCCTCGCCGTGCTTCAAGCCCCCGGCGAGACTCGCGATAAAAACAAACGACAGATCAACCTAGCGATCGGTTTACTTAAGTTAACATATAAATTATAGGCTATACGTGTCAATAATAAAAAATAAATTAGAAAGAAACAAAAGCACTCGGCTCAGGTCACAATCTACAGGAATAACGTCCCGCGAAAAACGGAAACTCTGGGCGAGGCGGGCGCCCGCGGTCGGTGTGGCGACGCTAAAGTGACAAATCTAACGCTAGGGAAAACACACGCGTCAAAATCTGCGGGTACTGTAAAGTATTTAAGAATTGCACTTTTGATAACTAATTTACTCTTCTCTTTCCACTCCAAAAAAAACCATAATAGTAAAAACAAAACGGCCTCCCCCGCTCGACCCGCCGGGCCTCCTCGCCTGCATATTCCGTCTTTAGCGACAGAACACACGCGGCGCCCTCTCGCACGCAACGCGCCGCTGCCTCGCGTCGTCCATCGCGACACCTCGCGTCGTCGCTCAGAGGTCGCCGCCGGTAGGGCCTGGCGGCCGTCCTAAGGGTTTCCCCGGTCCCGAGCGGCGCGGCGAGCGGCTCCGGCGGGCGACTTGGGAGAGCCGCACCGCCACCGACATCCCCAGTACCGCGGCGCGATGCCCCGAGGTGGGAGCGGGGGGGGGGTCCACGGGGCCAGATCAGTAACCGGTAACCACACGAGACAACACAAACTTTTAGGTGGCTACCGAGAGTGAATTATGCGATGGCCTGCTCGTTTCAAACGGTTGTCGCGTAATTGACTGTTGGCCGGCCACTTAAAGGAAGTGGAAGTTCTAACATGATCCCACCTCAGGTGGCAGCAACAAGTGAAACATCTGGCCCCGGCTCAACTGGTTTTACGTCTCGCTCTGATACTGGGTATCGTTTAAAAAAAAACTATTGATTAGCATTGCTCAACACGAGGTATTGCCCAATGTTAAGAAGGTAACTCCGTATATTGAGCAACACCTATTCAACTGGGCAATCAAAAGGCATCGCGGCCCTGAAATGGAGATGCAACACCAAGATTGATTTTAAAAAAAGTGTCAATAAGAGCACTTCTGAGATTGCCATACTGGTATACAACCCCGGTATCGTGGGCGGTGGAGATGATACCTGCAGGTATCGGCTCAGCAAATACTCAGGTGACCTTGCTCCGAGTGGACTCGGAGCAATCGGAGGAGGGGTAGATCTGGAGGACACTCCCTGGAGGTCAGGAATGGACGTTTGGTGGGCAATTCCGGAGGTCTACGGCAAAAAGGTCAGAAGGCTCGGTAGAGAGCCCGGGACCTTCCAAAGCGTTGGCCAGGCTCTGTACAAGAATCCAGATGTGACGTTGCCACATTTGGGAGCCCTTATTGCCCGACTGCTCCGACTGCGGCTTCTTGACTCTCTTAGACGCTCCCACGCGCCGCGACGGCCTCCAGCAATCGCCCCCGAGCCTGACACGTCGGCGGGAGCAGAAAGGGACGGCCGCTTGAGAGAGAAACGACCGCGGTGGCGAACCACCCCCAAGTGTCGTAGTCCAGGACGAGCCGTCACTCACGTTGACAGAGACCCCCACCGGCGAAGAGACGGCGACGACGCCACCTGCAGCGAGTCGTGAAAATATCACCGGCGGTGCGACGCCGATGAGGAGAAACGCAGCTAGCGTGGTCAGAGATGCCGGAGCGGTCTCGCGTTGCGAGCGGCGGTGAGTGTTAAAGCGTTGTCTCCAACGCCAAGGCTGGAGCTGAGCTTTTGTGCAACGCACGAGGGGGGGGGGGGGGGGCAGTGCGAGGAGAGACAGAGGGGAGATGCTTGGGGAAATTAGTGGGGAGATGAGTGGGGAGATAAGTGGGGAGATGAGTGGGGAGTCACGAGAGAGTTCCCTTCTATTCATAAGGGTTCCCACCGTAATTGTTTATTAGTACGTTTTCTGCTCTCTACTAAGCCAATTGGTAAATGGAATTACAGTGCCCTCAACATCCAGACACTCATCTATCCGATCGTTGTATAAAACCAAATTGCACTGCAACGCATGGACGTGTACTGGCTATGTTCACCCAGCAGAGTCCCAAGGCTGTTTTTCATGAAGGACGAGCTTGGGATGTGAACCAATTCCTATTCTTGGTTCTTTCGGTAAAGTCACGTAGAAGGAAAACAATATTTTTTTTATTTTATTGTTTCCCTTCTACGTCACTTTACCGAAAGAACCAAGAATATGAATCCCTGCATTCACGAAAGCTTTAAATAAAAAATTGAACCAATTCCTGTCAAGTGTTTGACGACGAATCGGCATTCCAGACGTGGACCGTCTGGAATGCCGATTCGTACACGTCACTGGAGCGAAGTAAGCGAGAACGTGCGGACCGGGTAACCGATCGGGTAACGGACCGGCTGATGGACCGGGTAACGGACCGGGTAACGGACCGCCTGAGGAACCGGGTAACGGACCGGGTAACGGACCGGCTGATGGAGCGACTGAGGAACCGGGTAACGGACCGGGTAACGGACCGGGTAACGGAGCGGCTGAGGGACCGGGTAACGGATCGGGTAATGGACCGGCTGATGGACCGGGTAACGGAGCGGCTGAGGGACCGGCTGATGGACCGGCTAACGGACCGGGTGACACCGCTTACGTTGCTTGGTAAAGCCACGGGATGGCTCGCGTGAAAATGAGATTAAAAGTGACAATCAGCGATACTCTTTAAGATGCCGTGGCTATTTAAAAAAACGTCCAAGTTGTCTCTCTGCTTAAGTGACCCCTGCGGCAGCGGCCATCTGAGAGGTGGGGCCCTGAGGCGGCACTGGGAATGGCGTGTCGATGCGGGGTGTGGGGCTTCCTTAGTTAGGTCTCAATATGTTTTTCTACCTTTCTTGTTGATATTTAAGCATTAGTATTATCTCACATTTAAAATTTAGATTCTTTATCCGATTGAATTTTTTACTTATTCATCTACTGTTGAAATGAAGCATGAAAAATAAACTATGTTGTAGTTCCGCGAGTGTAACTCAATTATTTTTGAAAAAGTAAACGTGTGACGGAATGCGAGACGTGACGAGATGGAGACACGGCATGGGTGAGTGGTGGGCGAGCGACGGGAGAGCGGTGGGTGAGCGGTGGGTGAGTGGTGGGCGAGCGACGGGAGAGCGGTGGGTGAGTGGTGGGTGAGTGGTGGGTGAGTGGTGGGTGAGTGGTGGGTGAGCGGTGGGTGAGTGGTGGGTGAGCGGTGGGTGAGTGGTGGGTGAGTGGTGGGTGAGCGGTGGGTGAGCGGTGGGTGAGTGGTGGGTGAGTGGTGGGTGAGTGGTGGGTGAGTGGTGGGTGAGTGGTGGGTGAGTGGTGGGTGAGCGACGGGAGAGCGGTGGGTGAGCGGTGGGTGAGTGGTGGGCGAGCGGTGGGTGAGTGGTGGGTGAGCGGTGGGTGAGCGGTGGGTGAGTGGTGGGTGAGCGGTGGGTGAGCGGTGGGTGAGTGGTGGGTGAGCGGTGGGTGAGTGGTGGGTGAGTGGTGGGTGAGCGGTGGGTGAGTGGTGGGTGAGTGGTGGGTGAGTGGTGGGTGAGTGGTGGGTGAGCGGTGGGTGAGTGGTGGGTGAGTGGTGGGTGAGCGGTGGGTGAGTGGTGGGTGAGTGGTGGGTGAGTGGTGGGTGAGCGGTGGGTGAGTGGTGGGTGAGCGGTGGGTGAGTGGTGGGTGAGTGGTGGGTGAGTGGTGGGTGAGTGGTGGGTGAGCGGTGGGTGAGTGGTGGGTGAGTGGTGGGTGAGTGGTGGGTGAGCGGTGGGTGAGCGGTGGGTGAGCGGTGGGTGAGCGGTGGGTGAGTGGTGGGTGAGTGGTGGGTGAGCGGTGGGTGAGTGGTGGGTGAGTGGTGGGTGAGCGGTGGGTGAGCGGTGGGTGAGCCACGTGAACTCCCGGGGGCCCCACGCGGCGTTGCACAAAACCACCCAGAGCCGCCATGCACCAGCTCCGCTCTCGCGCCCGCCCGGCATCTCAAACACACGTCTCATCACACCGACAATAACCACCCAGAAATCGAGACATTTTCACTTCCTGTCCTGAACTTAAATAATTTCACTCTCAGCTACGCGTCACTGAACCTCAGGGACACGGGAGATCACTGCAGTCTCCCCCCTCTGGCCACGCCCCGGGTGGTTTTTGGTTAACGTGAAGCCGCACCGGTGCCGTATGTACGTACGCCGAACTTCTTTCGCGGCGCACGTAGCCAACCGTGCTCATCGGCGGTGCGGACATACGTCACTGGCGTTGGCCGCAAACTGGAAATCCAACTCGGGTCAAGCCGTGAGGTGGGTCGTGGTCACGGAGGAAGCGGGGAGGGGTGGGAGGGTGGGGGGGGGGGGGGGCTCGTGAAGGCCGACGGGGGGCGGGGGGGGCATCAGAGCCGCGGGGAGTAGCGCGGGTTCTGCGGCGTCTCCGTGTACGACTTGAGCTCGTACGCCGCGCCCGAGTCAATCTCCATCGACTTGCGAGAGAAGAGCAGCCGGATGTCCGAGTGCAGGTAGATCTTGCCCGACTTGGAGCTCAGGAACCTGCAACGGGGGGGGGGGGGGGGGCAAGGGCATAACTAAACGGCTGGGCGAGACTTCGACACTTCACGTGCCTTCAAAGTGCCCTAGCTTCATGGAGGTCACCACCACTTGGTAGCGGATGGCAGTTATTACTGCTGTTGTTGTTGTGTACGCGTGCGGTGTGCGTGCGTTCCAGGAGTGTAACGGTTAGCGCTACGCTGCGCTATGAACCCGGCGACCCGAGTTGGATTCCCGCTCACGGCCAACACCGGTGACGATTATCTGAACCCGTCCTAGGTGTCTCTTAGGTTGGCTCAGGGTAAAACGAGTGCCTGGTGCGGTGGGTGAATTAGGCGACAAAAGACGGCCGGGCGTCGTGCTGGCCACCCACCCCCTATGAAGGCCGTGCCGGCCTTCATAGGCGGGTGCTCGCTAACTGCACTTGCCCCAACAAGTCTATGAAGGCCACACACGGAGGGGATTATCTGTGCGTGCGTGTGTGCGTACCGCAGGTGGATGAGGTATCGGAGGGCCCTGTCCTTGGCCGCGTCGCCCGGGGGGGTGCTCGCGGGCGACAAGCGGTCGGGGGCCGCCGCCGCCGCCGGGGCCTTCGGAGGGGAGGCCGAGCGCAGGCGGCCAACGGCGGCGGCGGGCGGCACGGCGCCGTTGGTCCCGTGGCGGGCGTGGGGGCCGGGGCCCGGCGTGGCGGGCACGGCGGGCGCCCCCGCCCTTCGTGCCGCGGGCACCGAGAACGTCCTCTGGCGCAGGAAGGTGTGGTGCCCGCCCGGCATGTCGCGCAGGTCGTAGATCACCACGAACATCTTCACCACCGTCTTGTTGGGGTTGAACAGCGTCTGCTCGGGAAGGCGGCACCGGCACGGCGAGGGCATCACTCCCGCCCCCGGCAAAAGTTCGGTTACGGCGCGAGTGCCGGGGTCCCGCGGGCGATCCCGATGCCCGGACGCGATGGACAAGTGCGCCTCTCCGCGTCGCGAGCGTCACCACGCGGCGGTCAGCGCGGGTTGGCGATGTCGGTGAGCGGCGGAGTACAGCGCAACAATGGATATTCTGCTGCGCTAGCCTCTGATGCCCATCACCTAGCCCAGCCGCCTATGATATCTGTCCTACGTATGGCGGTCACTCACGCGATACCAATTGGCTCACATTGGAATATGACTCTCGTTTTTGAGTGTGGATGTGGTGTGCGAGCGTGTGCGAGCGTGTCCGTGCGTGTGTGAATCTGGCCACCTGAGTGTAATATCCGTTCCGGGCCAACACCGGTGACAAACATCTGAAACGGTCCTGGGCATCCTCTAGGTCAACCCAGCCTTAAATGGGTACCTGGAAATGGTGTACAATCATCGGCACTGGGGAGATAAAAGCAGATAGGTGTGGTGCCGGCCATAAAGACAAAGTTCCCCCGTATAGCCTTAGCAGACTGTTGGGGCAAGTGCTGTTAGCGAGCACCTACAGTGAGGGAAAAAAGTATTTGATCCCCTGCTGATTTTGTACGTTTGCCCACTGACAAAGAAATGATCGGTCTATAATTTTAATGGTAGGTTTATTTGAACAGTGAGAGACAGAATAACAACAGAAAAATCCATAAAAAGCATGTCAAAAATGTTATAAATTGATTTGCATTTTAATGAGGGAAATAAGTATTTGACCCCCTCTCAATCAGAAAGATTTCTGGCTCCCAGGTGTCTTTTATACAGGTAACGAGCTGAGGTTAGGAGCACACTCTTAAAGGGAGTGCTCCTAATCTCAGCTTGTTACCTGTATAAAAGACACCTGCTAACGAGCTGAGATTAGGAGCACACTGTTAAAGGGAGTGCTCCTAATCTCAGCTTGTCACCTGTATAAAAGACACCAGGTAACGAGCTGAGATTAGGAGCACACTCTTAAAGGGAGTGCTCCTAATCTCAGCTTGTTACCTGTATAAAAGACACCTGCCCACAGAAGCAATCAGTTGGTGCGATTATTCGCAAATGGAAGAAACACAAAATAACTGTCAATCTCCCTTGGCCTGGGGCTCCATGCAAGATCTCACCTCGTGGAGTTGCAATGATCATGAGAACGGTGAGGAATCTGCCCAGAACTACACGGGAGGATCTTGTCAATGATCTCAAGGCAGCTGGGACCATAGTCACCAAGAAAACAATTGGTAACACACTATGCCATGAAGGACTGAAATCCTGCAGCACCCGCAAGGTCCCCCTGCTCAAGAAAGCACACATACATGCTCGTCTGAAGTTTGCCAATGAACATCTGAATGATTCAAAGGACAACTGGGTCAAAGTGTTGTGGTCAGATGAGACCAAAATGGAGCTCTTTGGCATCAACTCAACTCGCCGTGTTTGGAGGAGGAATGCTGCCTATGACCCAAAGAACACCATCCCCACCGTCAAACATGGAAGTGGAAACATTATGCTTTGGGGGTGTTTTTTTGTTAAGGGGACAGGACAACTTCACCGCATCAAAGGGAAGATGGACGGGGCCATGTACCGTCAAATCTTGGGTGAGAACCCCCTTCCCTCAGCCAGGGCATTGAAAATGGGTCGTGGATGGGTATTCCAGCATGACAATGACCCAAAAAAACACGGCCAAGGCAACAAAGGAGTGGCTCAAGAAGAAGCACATTAAGGTCCTGGAGTGGCCTAGCCAGTCTCCAGACCTTAATCCCATAGAAAATCTGTGGAGGGAGCTGAAGGTTCGAGTTGCCAAACGTCAGGCTCGAAACCTTAATGACTTGGAAAAGATCTGCAAAGAGGAGTGGGACAAAATCCCTCCTGAGATGTGTGCAAACCTGGTGGCCAACTACAAGAAACGTCTGACCTCTGTGATTGCCAACAAGGGTTTTGCCACCAAGTACTAAGTCATGTTTTGCAGAGGGGTCAAATACTTATTTCCCTCATTAGAATGCAAATCAATTTACAACATTTTTGACATGCGTTTTTCTGGATTTTGTTGTTGTTATTCTGTCTCTCACTGTTCAAATAAACCTACCATTAAAATTATAAACTGATCATTTCTTTGTCAGTGGGCAAACGTACAAAATCAGCAGGGGATCAAATACTTTTTCCCTCACTGTATGAAGGCTGCCACGGCACACGAGGGGGTGGGTGGTCAACACCACGCCCGGCCGCCTTTGTCTCCCGAGTGGCGATGTTTACACACCGCACCAGGTACTCATTTGAGGCTGAGTCGACTTAGCGGGAGGCCCAGGACCGGTTCAGATAATCGTCACTGAGTGTTGGCCGTGAGCAGGAATCGAACTCTGGTCGCCGGGTTCGTAGCGCAGTGCTCACCGCTACGCCACACCGGCCACACCACCACCACGAGTGCCACGTCGGCCTCAATAGGTGCATCTTAACGGCGTAGTCCGCGCGTGTTCCGCGTGCATGCGCGCACGTACCACTTGTATGGTGCCGGCTCGCGGAACGTGGTACCCGCGGCAGCCGTGGGAGCGCAGGCCGAGGACGCCCAGGTAGGGGGAGGGGGCCCCGTCGTGGGCCACCGAGAAGAAGGAGACGTGCACGGGCAGCACCGCGTGGCGCGGGCAGAACAAGCCGCTGGCGCCCAGCTCCGCCGTGAAACCCGCCACCGAGCCCAGCGCGGGCAGCCGCGCGTTCAGCACGCACTCCTGCGGCGGACACGGCCACCGTGAGACTCGGACAAAGATCAACGAGTCGCAGCGCCTATGAAGGCCGGTACCATGGCACACGAGGGGGTGGGTGGGTCGCCAGCACCACGCCCGGTCGCCTTTGTCTCCCCGGTGGCGATGTTAACACGTCGCACGAGGGTACTCACTTGGGGGTCAAGGAACATCACACGAGTCTCACAGAGTCTGAAAAGAGTCACAGCAAGTCATGCCGAGTCTCGCGGAACCTCGCACGAGAAGAGCCACCGATCCTCACCGATCCTCACTGATGCTCACCGAGACTCGCGCGTCGGCGTCGCTCGTCGAATCTCGCTCACCTCGAAGTTGCCGAGCAGGCAGCGTGGGCTGCTGCAGGGGGCGTGCGGCGCGAGGGGCTCCCGGCCGCTCTGCTCGTCCGCGGGCGCCACCACCTTGGGGCTGCGCGATAGACAGAGGGGCCCAAACGCACGACCCACGTCACCACCTTCGGTTCACCACGATGCGCCGCATCGAGCGAGCTCCCTCGCGTTCCGCAATTCTCTCTGCAAGCCGAGAGTCTTAAGCGGCGCTCGCCGCAGGGGAGCCGGCGGGGGTGCTGCAACGCCCGGGGGAGTGCTCTTCTCCCCTGCCGTGAGAGATCTCAAAGGAGGGACGGCCAGGTCTGTCCCGACGGCGCTCTCGCTGTCGTCCCACGAGCAGTCCGCTCGGACCTCCTCCTGTGTAGCTGCGACCCTTCGTGTCGGAGAACGGCCCACTGAAGCGGACATTACAGAGCTACCTCCCGAGATCCTTTCAAGTCACCTGGGTCCACGCAGTAGAGGGCACCACCTTGCCAACTAACCTGCCACATGATAGTGTCTGTCGCATCAGCCAAACTGATGTTTCAATCGTCAGAGCTGGAATTGGTCAAAATTAAGTGCGTAAATAAATTTAACGTGACGATTTGTCTTGTGCGCTCATAGGTGACCAGGCAGGGGCCATCAATTCACTGCACCTCAGAACCAGGTTCAACCGCGGGTGGCTGCCCGGTTTCGAACCCGGGGTCGCAACGTCGCCAGCTCGGCGCTCGGACCTCCGGCACTCACCTCTGCACGTGCCCGTTCTTGTGCAGCAGCGAAGCGTCCAGGTCGAAACGCCCGGAGGTCCCTTTCCTGAAGGGCACCTGCCGAGCAACGCGGCGCACAGACAGAGCACAGGCTTTAGAAGCAGCCGGGCCCAGCAGGGCCACGTGGAATCTCCTCGGCTAAGTCGACAACAGTCTACGGCACAAGGGTGGACTCGCATCAGGATCACCGAACGTGACCGCTACTCCTGACGCGGTTACCTGGCTTGGCCACCCGAGCGTGAAATTGTAGTTGCTGCTCTGCGTCCACGTCAGCCACAGGAAAGGAGAAGACTGTACGTGTGCACCGAAGCGAACGCAAGAGAGACGTCGCCGAGGGGGTGTGTAAAATTAACCGGCCGTTATGATCACTCGGCTAAAATTGGGGACGTGGTGTGGCCCAATGCAAAGGGAGGCTCCAGCAGCGGCTAGATCCCCACGACCTTTCTACGGGAGCGTGATCAAGGTTTTCTGGTGGCCGACGCTCACGCAGTTGGTAACCCGCTGACGGTGTTTTAAATTCCTGTTCGGCCCTACGGTAAGGAAAGGCTTCCCCGAGCGTTCTGTAGGGGAGGAACGCTCGTAGCATTGAGGGAGAGAGCCAAGGAGCAAAGCCTCTCAAGTTCACGGGGATGCCGATGATCAGAATCTTTGTTTAGACTGCAGTAGGAGGAATCCAATGAGCTACGAAGCTCTTTTCTCACAGATGTCCAGCAGGGGTGGGCGGCCAGCGAGTTACGACAGTGAACGACACGCACGCACACAAAAAAAACCGATAGGAGTGCAAAATCGAGAAAGAGGCAAGCAATTCACGAAATAGAAAATAGAAATAACCAATACATTAAGTAATCGATTCAATAAATTAATTATACGAGTCCGGCTGAGGAGCGGCACGAGCGTGTGATCACAGCGCACGGCAGGCCTCTTTGCGAATCGCAGAGCGCGTTTGTGCGTGCGCGGCCTTACTGGGCTGGAGGCCGCCGGCAGGCCGGTGCGCGGGTGGAAGGCGACGGCGGCGGCGGGCAGCAGCGGCGGCTGCGCGCCGTTATCCAGCAGCCGGCGGCTCACGGGCCGCTGGGGCGGGGGGGTCACCACGGCCGCCTTCCGGCAGGGCTGCGCCTGCGCCGTCGGACGAGCGCCGACCGATCACGTGAGAAAACGTTCGGTCTGTAGCAAGAGGGGTTTCTCTTCTCTCCGCCGTTGTCCGCGTGCGTTGCTGCCAATCTCATCGACAGCAACGCACGAACGGCTGTGGCTCCGGAGCCGCGTGCGGCTTTCTTAGAGGACTGTTCAGCGAGGTCATTTATCAAGGAGGGCCGCCGTCTCGTATTCACGTGCACTGCGGCTCTCGAGACATCGAGTATCTTTTTTTTACCGAATTAAAAAAAAAAGTTCTCTTCTTGTTATTTTGGTCGTCGACCCCCGGACCAGTCAATATCCATCACCGCTGTGCCCAGCCGTTGTCAACTCTCGTGTTAATGTCGAGTGCGGCCTCGGTGCCAGGGCAGGGCTAGAGTTGACCACAAGGATGGGCGCAGCTGAGGCGGGGTGAACGGGTGGCACGCGCTCGCCATCGCGCCGAGTTAGCAGCCTGTGCCCCGCCAAGGCCTGGCTGACTACTGCAGTGATTTTCCTGGCGGCGAGATGTTAACTACCTCGCCTGGTATACAGGAGGCCGTGGGTTCCGATCCCGACCCCGACGCCTGCTGTATATTTGGAGTTTGCGTGTCTCTCTCTCTCTCATCATCACCACGGTGGCTAGGATATGTTAACTACCTCGCCTGGTATACAGGAGGCCGTGGGTTCGATCCCGACCCAGACGCCTACTGCTGTATATTTGGAGTTTGCGTGTCTCTCTCTCTCATCATCATCACCACGGTGGCTAGGATATGTTAACTACCTCGCCTGGTATACAGGAGGCCGTGGGTTCGATCCCGACCCAGACGCCTGCTGTAGATTTGGAGTTTGTGTGTCTCTCCCCGTGGTCCTCTGGTTTTTCCCTCCACGCTTAGAAACGAGGTGTGTTTAGATTATCTGGCTGCTGTAAATTTCCACATGATGATAAGCCACTTCGTTGAGCTATCATTTGTGGCCATAACTATACAGCTCAGTGGGCCTTACCTGGTGAAATAAAAATAGTTTAAATTTTGATTTAGAGCTTTCGTGACTGCAGGAATTCATATTCTTGGTTCTTTCGGTAAAGTCACGTAGAATGGAAACAATAAAATAATAAAAATATAAAACAATAAAATTATCACGACGTTTTGACTGCAACACAAGCAAACATCATCAGGTGTGAAAACCACAGCAAGAAAAAATTGAAAAACCGCCACTTTGTTCTTGCTGTGGTTTTCACACCTGATGTTGATTGCTTGTGTTGCAGTCGAAACGTCGTGAGAATTTTATTGTTTTATATTTTTATTATTTTATTGTTTCCCTTCTACGTGACTTTACCGAAAGAAGCAAGAATATAAAAATAGTTTCGTTTTTAAATGATAGTTTAGTTTGTGAAGCGAACGCGAGTTATGCGGGTGGCTTGGCATCACGGGGATGTTTGTGCCGTTGTCTGCTGGCCACTGCGCGTCACAAAGATGCGACCCATCACTTCTTCACTGCTTAGACGGATTTGTTCCCATTGAACACTCGCCTGATTAAATCACAAACTCCATTCCTTCATTTATTTGTCTCGCCACAATGATAATCAATATTTACGCAGAGAGACAGATGTATGAAGGAAGCGCATTGTCTGCGCGTATATACTTCGCTATTTGTAATCTCCACAATGACACCCGCGATTGCTTGGTGCTATGATTAAACGACGGTCCTTATGCAGACAGCCGACTGGACCGAGCATTTCTTTCCCAAGCCGCAGGCTCATCATTTTCAATCAAACAACAAACACAAGTTACCCTCCATCACCATGAGCGATGCCCCGGAACGAGTGCCCAACGTAGACGAGCTGGACTTTCAGCAGGAAGAGCGAGCGCCGCAATTTGGCGCGATGCAACGATTTGGCGTGATTAATGCGGCTGCAGAGTCGGACTCGAGATGCAACGCGAGCGTGAACACGCGTCGCGCACAACAAGTCCGCTTAACGAACGAGGACGTATGCCCGCGGGCACCTGGGTGAAACATTCTGAAGCGGTGAGCGAGAGCGAGTCGGGAGCGTTTCCTGCCGAACTGACCTCGATCACATTCGTCGACGAAGCTGCCTTGGACGTAAAGAACGCAAACGTGGCACCGTGTCGGGCAACAGCACCGCCTCCTCCAGAGCGCGCCCAGCACCGGACTGACACGGGGTCGCGCACTGAACTAAACCAAACATTCGACGCGCGCGCGTGCGCTGACAGTTGCGGGCACGGCCCCTTGAGGTGACCTCCCCTCGCTCGCACGCCCATCCCGCCCCCCCTCACCTGGCAAGACGCGCTCTGCCCGGCGGGGATGCCCGGCGACGAGGCCAAGTAGCACCCGGACGCGGCCGGCACCAGCGCGGGGATCGCCGTCGGCGCCGCGGGGGCAAGGGGGCCGCCGGGAGGCCGGGGGGAAGTCCTGACGCCGTCGAGCGGCAAGGGGCCCGGGCGGGCCACGCCGCACTTGGCCGGCGGGGACTGGCAGGGGTCCGCGGCCCTCGCCGCCTCCGCGGCGGCCGCGGCGGCCGCGGCCGCCGCGGCCTTAGGTCTGTGCGGCGATGGCGACGGCAGCAGCTTGCGCTTGACGCGCGCTTTGAGCGGCAGGGCGGCTCCGCGCGAGGACACGGGGGTTTCGCTCCCCCCTCGGCCCCCCGAAGCGCCGCCCGGTGCCGGCTCCTCGCCGTGCGGCGTCCACCGCTCCGGCTCGTCGCCCGCGAGCGCCGCCTCGATGGGCGTGAGCGGCGGCGTGAGCGGCGGCGTGCCGGCGCGAGCGTCGCCCGTGTTCTTCAGGTTCCTCCAGGAGGACGACGGGGGGGCGGCCGCGGCGGTGCCGTCGAGGGCCGCGCCAGGCCGGCACCGCTCGGGCGCCGGCGGGGACTCGGCCTTGCGGCGGAGGTCGCGGGCGGCGCCCAGGCGCACGGCGCGCAGCGACGTCTCCAGCTCGCACAGGTCGATCTGCTGCGCGATGCTCGAGATGATCTCGCGGCTCTGGTAGATGGAGCCGAGCGGGGAGCTCTCCTTCGCCTCCCGCGCCAACTCTGACGCCGGCTCGGCGGCGGCGGCGGTGGCCGCCGAGCCGGCGGCAGTCGTGGCGATCACAGAGTAGTTCTTGGACAGCGCGCTGCGCAGGCTGCCCGTAGTCCTCCTTTCCGCGGACGCTTCCGGTGGGCACCTGTAGGGCTGCCCGGCGGGCCTGGGCCAGCACGTGCGGTGAGGCGCGGCGTCTTCCGGGCACTCTCGCCGCCGGCAGCCGGCAGTCCTGGAGCAGTCGCACCGCTCGCACGCCGCGCCGTTGGAGCGTATGTACGTCAGCACCATCTTGCCCACCACCTTCTGCTGCTGCTCGGCCTCGGGAACGAACCGGTCGTACTCGGCGCGGCACGCGAGCTCCGACTCCGCGTCGCCCTCCTCCGCGCCGTCGAGGCGGAGCCGCGGCGCCGTCCCCCGGGGCTCCGCCGCCGCGCCGGGCTCCGGCGCGCCGGCGGAGGAGACGGCGGAGGAGGAGGAGACGGCGGCAGGGCGGAGGGGAGCGTGCACCCGGCACTGGACGGCCGGCGGGGAGGGCAGGCGCGGCAGGGCCGATACGGAGACGCGCAGCGTGCGCGTGCAGGCCAGCGCCGGCACGGGGAACACGTGCTCCTCCGGGGACTCGGCAAAGTCCTGCTCCGTGGCCTCGCCCGGCGCGCACACCCTGGCAACACGACGGGCGCGTGGGCAGGGTTCAGCCATGGCGCAGCAGGGCGACGACGACGACGCTTCTGCCGCTGCTAGGGACAAGGGCTACACCTCACAGGATGGGCTGTTTAAACGTACAGATTTGTCTTTGGTGGACAAAAGACAAATAGGGGCTGCACTTGTGTTAAGCGAGAGGATGAGTTAGGGGTGAGCGGGTGTGTGGGTGTGCGGGGTGGGATTATGGGCGAGTGGGTGTTTAGGTAGGCGTACGAATGGGTTACTCATAATACGGGTTTTTGAGTTAGATTACAGAAATATATAAATGTGTCATTAAACCCGCCACCACCCGACACAGCCAATTTGTAAGGTGTCACTAAACAGAACATGCCAATTCGTTACTAGTACACAGCACATCGGTGTGTTGGAAAGTCAAGCCACAACATTTACAATCTGAGTACAATGTTTCGCCAGTAATTACAATTAGCTTCATCTGGCGAAACGTCGTACTCAGATTATAAATGTTGTGGCTTTGCTCTCCAACACACCGGTGTGCCGTACGAGTAACGAATTGGCGTGTTCTGTTTACGTAACAATCCTTACTAATTGACTGTGTTGGGTGGTGGCGGGTTTAACAACACATTTATACTTATGCAATCTAACCCAAAAAAAACTGTATTATGGATGATACTGGTGCGGATTAGCAGTTGGTGAGGGTTGGCATGCTGAGCGTGTTGGCGAGTGAACGGGCTGCTAAATAAGGTGGTTATAATGATTGAGCGGGCTGCTAAATAAGGGGGTTGTAATGATTGAGCGGACTGCTAAGCGAATGCTTCGGTGAGGGACTGAGTTGAAAAATCTAGCGAGCGAGCGAGTTGCCGCCAGGTCCTCACCGATAGAAGATGGAGTGGTTGAGCTTCCCGTGCGCGGCACTGAGCCAGGCGCTGAGCTGGGAGAAGTGGATGTAGGAGCGCACCGCCTGCAGGAGAGTCCCCTCCGACACGGCTCCTTCGCCCGACCTGGACACAACGCGCACGCACGCAGACCCCCACTCGTACGCCGCTGTCTGGTCGCGCACCTTGCTTGCAGGAGGTGGCGGCAGTCGGCGCCTGCTTTGATTGTTGCTGCTAGCGGTGGCAGCCGGTGTCTGGTTAGCGACGGCTGGTGCCTGGCAACCGATGGTGGTGGTGGTGGTGTCTGGTTGCTGCGAGCGGTCGGTTGCTGGAGTCTGGTTACTCGTGGTGGAGGTGGTGCTGTTGGCTAATGGCATAACAACAGCAAGGGGCACCAGCTGGTGCATTTGCCAGTCATCTCAGTCGGTCAACCCATGGCACCCGGATCTGTCCCTCGACCTCCTGTCAGCGAGCATTCGACACTTCACGTGGCCTCAAAGTGCACCTGGCCTGGCGCACGCGCCGTGGTGACGTCACCGTCACTTAGTGGCAAATGGCGGCTATTGGTTGGCAAATGCCGGGCGACTGCTGCTGGTGTTAGCTGGGGACTTGCTTGCCGGAGCGACGGAACGAGGTGGTGGTGGGGGGGGGGGGATGGCAGGGGGGGAGCTCACTCACCTGCGTGGAGCCAGGTGCAGGGCCCAGCGCTCGAGCAGCAGCGACCCGCGACCGCAGGGGCCCCCCTCGGCGTCGCCGGCGTCGGAGCCGCAGGTCGCACCGCGGCGCTCGCCGCCCGCGCAGCAGCCGGCGCGCAGGCCCACCTCCACCATGACGGGAACGGCGTTCCTCCACAGGAGCAGCACCCGCGCGCGGGTCAGCTGGTACAGCCGGCACTGCGCGCGGGCACGGAAGGGGCGCGGGGGCGCGGAGGCGTCTCAGCGACGGAGGAGCGCGCAAAGACGCGCCGCGGATAACGTTCACGTTCAGAAGCGCGCCGAGGGGACGGAAGAGGGGAGCACGTGGGTTAGAGAGCTTAGGCGGGATCACGGCATCTTTCTGAGCACCGAGGAAGGTAAAGCGTGCTGTGGGTAGAGGACGCAGGGAGGAATAAATAACTGTACACGAGAGTGCAAATTAGTTTTTTTCAAATTTCAATCCTCTCCTCGCCCACGCGCACCCCACGCTCACCCCACGCTCACCCCACGCTCACCTGTTCGCTGCCGAGGTTGCACACGTGCGTGCCGTGGCGGCCGGCCGCGCGCTGGGGGCAGTGCGGGCCCTCCGCGCGGCCCTTCACGGAGGCCTCCGGAGTGCGGCCCTCGGTGACGAGCTGCGTCAGCGCCACCAGCAGCTCCTCGGGCTCCCACTCGCCGCCCTCCGGCGGGGCGTCTGCACGGCACGGAGCGGCACCGAAGTGTCAGCGTGGCACGCGCGCCGGCGCACTCGCTCGGCAGACCCACGGCAATCTCCGCCAAGGCGCAGCGGGCGACGTTCGCACGCGTGGGAATCAAACTCGGATCGCCGAGCTCATAGCGCAGTGCGCTCACCGCAAACGCGGATAAGCACGCACGTAGCCGCGCGCGATTGTGGCACTTGTACGTTACGCACGAGTAGGCACGCTCTACGTAAACGCGCCCTTTGCGGGCACACACACACAGACACTTAGGCGGATCTCGTGCATGCGTGTAGATAAAAAAAACAACAAAACCAAGATCCTCCGTGTAGCTTTTAACAAACTGCTGGAGCATGTTCTGCCAGAAAGCATCGACGAAGGGCGGAAACGTCTCACGAAGGGGGTGGTGTGGCCAGCAGCACGCTCTGCCGCCTCTCTCTCCCTAACGCCGATGTTTGTGCCCCGCACCCAGTACGCCTTCAGGGCCAAGTCGACGAGCACAACGAGGTGGGGTTTGGATATTCCTCACCGGCGTTGGCTACGGGCGAGAATCGAACTCGGCTCGCCGGCTATGTAGCGCCGGCGCGCTCGCCGCCACACCGCACGCGGCAGATACGCGCATGCCTACGCACGCATGCGGCTGTACACAGACGGTGGGAACGGGCTCCACGGCCGCGATGCCCATGGGTTATGCATGAGCTGGCGGCGCATTGTGAGACGGAGCCGACCCGGCTGCCTCGCCCCGCGGTGGTCACGGCACAGAACGACCCCCCCCCACCTCCCCGCGGCTTGGCGGTGAGCGGGTCTGCCCTCGCTTGCCGGGGTGGCTGCTGGCTTCCCCAGCAGGCTGCTAGCCCGGTTCCTCTGCCCGGTCATCAATTAATCCCCCGGGGTGGGAGAGCCCCACGGTTTACCTGCGTCAACTAAAACCTCAAATGGTTGAATCCGATCGTTGAACCCCCCTCCCCTCCCCTCCCACCCCAAAACCGGACCCAAATGGTTGAGCCCTCCACAGTTGAATTCGCAGAAGTGAACTCCCGCGGTCGAATCCAATCACTGAACCCCCACAACAGAACCCGATGGTTGAACCCTCATTACTGAATCTTAACGACACAATCTCCCCGCGGGGTTGAACCCGCTCCGCCCCCCCACCCCCATAATTGAACCCCAGAGTAAACGTATCATCCTCTACAACTGAACCGCATGATTGGACCCCACGGTTTTAATCCCCGGGGTTGAATCCCATGGTTCAAACGCCGCAGTCTAACCCCTATAATTGCAACCGGTGAAACCCGACGTGGCCGATACTCCCGGAATGGCGAATAAACAACAGCTTGGGGACAGTGCCACAGGGCGAACTTAGGGGGGAACAAACGGTAGATTTCAGCCCTCGCGATGAACGTCACCGTGGGCGACGGTTCGAGTGGATGGACACATTTGGCGGGCGCAACGACTCGGATAAAACTCCGCGGTCCATCACCGACCCAACGCGTGCGCCGACTAGTGGCCAAGATGCGTGCACAAGTGAGTAACAATTCCAGGTGCAGTTATAGCGTAAAGCCAACTCTATTTTTGTGTTCATCGCTTTAAAAAAATAAAAATCGCACGCTCAGTTTTCTTCCGGGGAGTCGAAGCCACCACGTTGTCTGGACGGTAATGCTGACCCCCCTTCGGTACAGTGTCCAACACACGCACTCTCTCTCTCTCGCACGGAGGGGGATGCACTGCTCTTGGAGAGAGTTCTCAATTAATTCTTCATCCCATCACAGGACGCTGCGAACGTAAACCGGGACAACGTTGGAGAGGAACGCTCCCACGGCTGGGCTGCCGGTGGCAGCGAGACGGCGATGGAAATTAGACATTGCTATGGCCAGGTGCAGGTCTCTCCGTACAAGCATTACCGTGTCTTATCACAAAACGGTATGGATTTTATCCAACCCAGATAAAACTATTGGGATTTGAACAACCTTCCAACTGTTGATTCAAACGCTCGAACCAAGCCACTGGCGGAGCCAGTGGGGGGGGGGAGGGGGGGTGGCACGTGCCCCCCCAATGATCCGATCGAAATCCCTAATTTCGATCGGATCATTGCGGTTTATTAGTAATAAATCAGCATTTTGCGACCCCTACTGCCACTGTGTAGCATATTACTACGTGCCAGGGACTCTATGAGATGATAGGACAATAGTCTGAGTCCATAATTGGCAATAAGTAACGGCAAAACAGTTCTAAGTGACTCAGAATTATGCGCAGTTGCGTATACAGTACACGACTTCCCTGAAGGCATCAACACCTTCAGCGAGCGCGATGTCGATCACACAACGCGGTTCGAATTCGACCCTCGATCGATGGCTGCACCATCGCCGCACACGCGTCAAATAAAAAGCAAGGGACAAGTCCTTACTTACTAACAACTCCTTACTTACTAACAACTCCTCTATCATTTGTCATTGCTGGAGGGGTTGCCCCCTCTACCTGAAAATCCTGGCTCCGCCATTGAACCAAGCCACTGACGTCAGTATCTAAGCTTTACGGTGCCATAGGAACATTTAACCGGCAAAATATTTGATTTCATATTACATGTTCCACAAAGCCCAGTTGTGTCCACAAAACAATGAGACCCTTGTATGCTTTCATTGTCTCTTCTTTAAAGAGGTTTAATGCCCCTTAATTCCCTTTGTCATCGCGTTGCAGTGATGACAGCCACCCAATGCAGAGTTGCTCTGCAACAAGTGTTCATAGGCACTGCTGATGCCATTATTGTGACGCGTAAGTTTATTGTTATTTACTGACAAACAATAATGAGACACGCAGGTCCCATCAAAATGCAGAGATGAGACGGTGGCCGTGAATATTGCTTATAAAGCAGAGTTCACACGTAAAAATGATGACAAGGTGTAACATTAATTAAATGTCATATATATAAACAGCGCTACATGGTGGGCAACAAAGGAGCATCGCAGCAAACTCCAACGTCTTACTGCACCATGCTCCCACATCTGTGTTGCCCCGCCTTCACCAAGCCGAACTGACAAGATTGGTACACCCAGCCTGGTACAAGCACCAAGAAGAAGACATCACTGCCACCTCCGATTATCACGGCCGGCTACGTGCGGTGCCAAAGAAGTCCAACGTACGTACAATCAGCGGAAAATCGTCAGCTGTTGCACGCGGCTGCCTGCCCGTCCGTCCGTCCGTCCGTGCGCGTGCCCGCTCGACAGTTTTAATTCGGCCACAAGGAACCGTGGCCTCAATGCCGTGCACCCAAACGCGTCGGCGACAAGCCGGCACTTGTAGAAATTCCGAACCTGCCCGCCGCCGCACGTGACGGTATTTTCGGTGAAGTTGCCCGAGCCAAAAAAAGCAAAAGCGAAGGGAGCGCACGTTTGCACACGACCTTTTTCGAGGCTTCGCGTTCAGACGCACGTTTCCGCCTTATTCTTCCGGAGTATTTTTAGTTCCCCTCCACGATGGCATTCTAAATATTGCGGAACAGACATTCCTCCCGTGCACACACCAAAACAATACCTGCCCGTAACGCAAAAGGCAGGTGAAGACATGCCTAGTACACGCGTCGTCGTCGCCTAGACGTCACGACAACGGCACGTGCAGGGGGATCGTGGTGGCGACTGGCTCAGTCTGGCCGGCTGCACGCACCACAAGGGTTGACATTTACACCTAAATCCGTCACCGCACGTGATCTCTAGCGCGACTCGCTCGCGCGCACGCACGGCGGAGGACCGGGTTATCCCAGTAGTCGGCACGCTCCCCGGTTATTGCAATACGTTCAAGGAAGTGTACTCACGCAAGCCGAGATGGCTGATAATTCCATTGTCATCAATTAGTCCTCATCATTAACAGCGGCACCTCAACTACCATTCACACGTGGCAACGACATCAAAGCCACCAATATAATCACCAACCACAGAACCTCTGTGTGTTGTTGAAGGAGGACAATATGTAAAAACGTTGCCCAATCAACACGTTTTCTTTTTAAAGGAGCATTACTGATTAATTTGTCGAGATGTTTTATATTATTTGTGACAGTGCACCACTGCACAACGAATTATCACAAAATGTCCTTCCCCCCCCATCTCCAATGTTGTCCTTCCCCCGCACCTCCAATGAGCAGGTTTGGCTACGTAGGGCACGAAATAAGTTCAACGTGCCAAATAATAAGCAAAAAAAACTAGGCACCGATGCATCTATATGGGAAAGTCTAACCTTAGCAGTTACGTGGTTGATAAAAAAAAATCAGACAGATGCTGAACGCACAGCCAATATGAGAAATGCTAAATCAAGCCTGATTTATCACCTGCCTGCGTGACTTGGCTTGAATTCTAAGCGGGTACGCCACCGTGCGGGCTCCACACTCGATCACACAGCAGCGCTCAAGCAACAGGGAGGGAGGGGAGTGAGGGCAGCAGAGCTCTGGAGGTAGACGAGAGGATGACTGGAATCAGGGAAGTGAATTAAGCGCCTGGGGTATTGTGCACGGTTGTGTCTTTGCATCTGTCCTCGTGCAGTGTCAAGAAGCAGGTTTGTTGCATCTTTAATTAAGAACAACCAGGTGATGCTATCGGACGAAGGCAGCGCACATAGGTGAAGTAGCCTGTACTGGTCTTGTATCCTTCTTTCACACTCCCCAGGTGTCACGCAGCAACGTGGTTGTTGCGTCGCGCGTGTCATCCCCCACCTCGCGTGCGAGACACAGACGCGCGCACACACACACACACATCTGTTGGACAGGTGTGTACGTGCGCGCGTGTGTGTGGGGTGTAATCTGGGGAGCGGTAGTGTAGCGGTTAGCGCATTGCCCTATGAACCCGGCGACCCGAGTTCGATTCCCGCTCACGGCCAACACCAGTCACGGTTATCTGAACCGGTCTTGGCCATCCCCTAGATCGACTCAGCCTCAAATGAGTACCTGGTGCGGTGTGTAAACGTCACCACTGGAAAGACAATTGCGGTCGTGCGTTGTGCTGGCCACCTTCAT